CCAGCCGTCATTCATGACTTCTACAATCTTAATTTGGACAATGTGATCCCGATTCCCACTTAATTCAATTGGAATGAAGCGGCGGAGGTTCTCTTGGGAAGAGAAAATGCTTGGCCCCTACCCACAGCAGAGTGGCATCAAATTGAGCTTACTCCCTCCATAGCCATCATCTGGGTCTTCATGTGCCATAATATTGAACCCACATCGCATCGGACAACTTTCACGAATCAAACTGCTGGGTTCATATATCATTTAGTCCGAGGATGCAAAGTTGATTTAGCTACTCTTATCTATAACCACATACAGAATTTGGGGACCTGGGGAAATAGGTGGTCTTCGATGATCTTCCCTAGTCTGATTAGCGGGATATGTCTCGCCGTCGGTGTTACAGTTGAGGCAGGGGAGATGGCTGAGAAATTAAGCCCATTGATAAAGCACACAACATTTGAAGCTCAGGAACAAGCTAGGGTGAGGAAGAGAGAACAAGACCGACTTGAGCAGCAAAGACATAATGAGTAGGGAGAAGGACAAGCAGCTGAAAATATACACCTGGCACAAGCCCCGCCACAACCAGCTAAAATGGATTCGCAGCTACTTCGACAGATAATTGCCACCGCCACTGGAACTAGCAGGGATATACAAAATCTCTAGTAGAGGTTCGAGACGATGACCACCACTGTTGAAAAAGTGCAGAGAGACCTCTACTCCTCCCGAGACTACACATTGGGCACTATGAATGAAGCCACAGCTGCAAGAAGGAAAGTAGAGACTATGAATGGTAGGTTCAACATGTACGCTAGGAGAATGGATGGTATACAGTGGCGTGTGAACGAAACTTGAGATCGTTTGGGAAGTATGGCCATATTCCCAAAAATAAAAATAAAAATTTGACTTGAAAGGGAATATGCTAATCGAAAATTTGGCATCAAAACCAATTCTTTACAAAAAATTTTGAAAAGCATCTTGAAAAATAAAATAAAACAAACGACTTTGAACCTCGAAATGCATTCCTTCACACTCAAACACCCAAAACACTTTATTTAGCCCCGACTCATGCAACTATAAGCGTGTAGAGCCTAGACTATCATGTGTGAATAATCGATGACCTAGTAAAACATACGAAATTTAAACAAATTCCTAAACTAATGTAATAAAATAAATTGAAGGATGCAGTGGGTTGTCTCCCACCCAGCGCTAGTTTATAGTCGATAGCTCGACTTTCCTGTGTCTTCTTCACGTTGGGTTGCTGAGTTGCACAGTGGACTTCTGCTTAGGGAAGTTACAGCCCCAATAATGTTTTAGTCTTTGCCCATTAACGATGAATGTGCCTTTGGTCTCGTGACTCACTTCAATAGCCCCATATTACATCACTTTAGTTATGGTATAAGGACCCGACCACCTTGTTCTTAGCTTTCCTGAGAAGAGTTTGAGTCTAGAATTGTATAATAACACTTTCTGGCCAACTTCAAACTCTCGCCTCTGAATGTGTAAATCATACCATCTCTTGGTGCGCTCCTTGATCAACTTTGAGTTCTCGTAAGCTTCCATTCTCAACTCATCAAATTTATTAAGTTGCAACAGTCGTTTTTCACCAGCAGCCTTGAGATCCATATTCAACTGTTTCATAGCCCAATATGCTCGGTGCTCCAACTCCAATGGTAGATGACATGCTTTCCCAAAAACCAAGCGGTATGGAGACATTCCTATTGGTGTCTTAAACGCTGTTCTGTAAACCCACAGTGCATCGTCCAACTTCTTAAACCAATCTTTTCGGGATGAGTTCATTGTAACTTCCAGTATTCTTTTTAAATGCCTGTTTGAAACTTCAACTTACCCATTGGTTTGTGGATGATATGGAGTTGCTACTTTATGTTTCACCCCATATTTGTTCAACAGCTGCTCTAATTGACGATTTATGAAGTGTTTGCCTCCATCACTTATTATCGCCCTCGGTGTACCATATCTTGTAAATATGTACTTCTTCAAGAACTCTATTACCACTTTTGCGTCGTTGGTAGGTAATGTAATAGCTTCCACCCACTTAGAGACATAGTCAACGGCCACCAAGATATATTGATTTGAGTACGATGGGGAAAAAGGTCCCATGAAATCTATTCCCCATACATCAAATATTTCAACCTCCAAGATGTAGTTTAGTGGCATCTCATTTCTTCTTGAGATATTTTCGGTTCGTTGGCATCTATCGCATCTCTTCACATACTCGAATGTGTCTCTGAATAAAGTAGGCCAATAGAAACCCAACTGTAGGATCTTTGCAGCAGTCTTTGAAGCTCCAAAATGCCCAGCATATACAGAAGAGTGACAATGCTCTAAAATCTTCGGTACTTCATCTTTAGGAATGCATCTTCTGACTATTTGATTTGCGCCTCTTCTATAGAGAATGGGATCCTCCCAAAAGTAATACTTCAGCTCTGCAAAGAACTTCTTTCTTCGATGGCTAGAATACTTGGGTGGAGGAATGGACTTAGCAAGGTAGTTAACAATATCAGTGTACCATGGGACTTTTTCTACTCCAAGAATTTGCTCATCTGGAAAGATTTCGTTGATATCAACTGACATCTCAGGTTCATCCCATTCCAATCTTAATAGGTGGTCGGCTACCACATTTTCACTAACCTTCTTATCCTTGATCTCAATATCGAACTCTTGCAACAACAATATCCAGCGGATGAATCTCGGCTTAGCATCCTTCTTTGTCATAAGGTACTTCAGAGCGGCATGAGTTGTGTAGACGATGACCTTAGACCCAACAAGATACGATCTAAACTTGTCGAATGCATAAACTACAGCTAGCAATTCCTTCTCGGTTGTCACATAGTTGATTTGGGCGTCGTTCAAAGTTCTACTTGCATAATATATCACATGAAAGATTTTATTCTTTCTTTGTCCCAATACCGCACCAACTGCATGATCACTCGCATCGCACATTAGCTCAAAGGACAAATCCCAATCAGGTGACACAATCACAGGCGCTGTTGTTAGTTTTTGCTTCAAAGTATTGAATGCTATCAAACATTCCTCATTAAACTCAAAAGATACCTCTTTCATTAGCAAGTTGCACAGAAGTTTGGTGATTTTGGAGAAGTCCTTTATAAACTTCTTGTAAAACCCTGCATGCCCAAGGAAGCTTCGAACTCCTTTTACTGATGTAGGTGGTGGTAGTTTCTCAATGACCCGAATTTTCGCCTTATTCACCTCTATCCCCTTTGCCGATACTCTATGTCCCAAGACTATTCCCTCTTGAACCATGAAATGACATTTCTCCCAGTTCAATACTAAATTCATTTCTCTGCATCTTTGCAAAACCAAGTTTAAGTGCTCCAAATACTCATCAAATGAGGTCCCAAAGACCGAGAAGTCATCCATAAAGATTTCAATGAATTTCTCCACCATATCTGAGAAAATTGCCATTATGCATCGCTGAAATGTGGCAGGAATATTGCAAAGTCCAAATGGCATTCTTTGGTATGCAAAGGTACCATAGGGGCATGTGAAGGTGGTCTTCTCCTGATCATCCGGTGCCACTAGTATCTGATTATAACCCGAATACCCATCCATAAAATAGTAGTGGGAATGGCCTACCAATCTCTCCAACATCTGATCTATAAACGGAAGAGGGAAGTGATCTTTCCTTGTAGCGGTATTTAGTTTGCGGTAATCAATGCAAACTCTCCACTCTGTTACCGTCCTTGTCGGAATCAACTCATTCTTTTCATTTTGAACCACTGTAATTCCTCCTTTCTTGGGCACAACTTGCACTGGACTAGTCCATTCACTATCTAATATCGGGTAGATTATTCCAGCATCCAGAAGTTTGATCACCTCAGCTCTTACCACCTCCTTCATGTTTGGGTTTAGCCTCCTTTGACTTTCAAATTTTGGTAAAAAATTCTCCTCCATGAGAATTTTATGCATACATAAGGAAGGGCTAATCCTTTTGATATCTGCTATGGTCCACCCAATTGCCTGCTTGTTATCTCTAAGAACCCAAGCAGTTTTTTCTCATCCACTTCACTAACCATGTTTGAAATTATCACTGGAAGTGTATTAGACTCCCCCAAATATGCATATTTTAGGTGTGGGGCAGCTGCTTAAGTTCAAACTTTGGTGGCTTCAGAATGGATGGCTGTGATTTATCAGGCCCTGTCCCAAACTCCTCAAAGTATCGTTTTCGAGTGTAAGGTGGGTTGGACTCCAAAAATCTTACACACATTTCTATGTCCACAGAATCAGATTTTGTGGATTGAGAATGTGCAATGCAGGCCTCCAATACATCTTATGGATTTTGCAATGTAAACGACTCTTCAATCATTTTATCGATCATGTCAACCCTGAAACAGCTGTCAGTCTCTATTGGTAGTTTCATAGCCTTGAAGACATTGAATGAAACCTGTTCTTCTCCCAATCTCAGTATCAACTGCCCATTCTGAACGTCGATCAAAGCTCTGCCTATGGCCAAGAATGGTCTGCCCAGTATTAAAGGAACATCTTTATCTTCTTCCATATCCAGAATCAGAAAATCTGCTGGGAATATGAACTTCTCCACTTTAACCAATACGTCTTCAGTTATTCCTCGTGGATGTGTCAATGATCTGCCAGCCAGCTATAAGGTCACCGTGGCCGCTTTAGCTTCTCCCAATCCCAATTTCCTGAAAACAGGCAATGATATTAAGTTAATACTTGCACCAAGATCACATAAAACTTTATCAAAATAAACTTCAACAATGGTACAAGGGATAGTGAAACTCCCTGGATCTTTCAATTTTGGAGCTTTCTCTTAATCTTGGCACTGCACTCCTCTGTTAGCATAACTGTCTCGTGATCTCCTAGCTTCCTTTTGTTTGATAGGATGTCCTTCAAGAACTTTGCATAACTAGGGATCTGAACAGTGCTTCAGCGAATGGGATGTTGATATGGAGCTTCTTGAAGACTTCAAGAAACTTCTTGTATTGCTGCTCCATCTTTTGCTTCTTCAGCCTCTATAGAAACGGCATGGGTGGCTCATATGGGTTCACAGTTGCAGTCTCTTTGTACCTTGAGTTTCCTTTATTTGCACTCGGTGTTGGCTCTTTTGTCTGCTCTTCTTGCTCCAAAGTCTCTTCTACTTCAGGAGATATCTCTTCTCTGTTTGCCTCGGGGTTATTCACTTGTCTCTCAGGTAATTGCACTCCACTTCTCGTTGTTATAGCCTTTGCATGCTCTTTGAAATTGACTTTTGTGTTACTTGGCAAGCTGCCTGGTGCTCTACCTGTTAATGCAACTGTCATCTGTCCCATCTGAGTTTCCAAATGCTTGATGGCTGCATTCTGGTCCTGAAGAGTGGCTTCTGTCTTCTTCATGAATTGGTTGTTCGCCTCCTCATATTGGTTGGTCTGTACCATGAATTTTCCGAACATTTCTTGCAATTGAGGCTTCTTCTCTTGCTGTTGATATTGCCCCTGTGGCTTATTCTGATTTTGGTTGCTCCAAGAAAAGTTGGGGTGCTTTTTCCAGCTTGGGTTGTAGGTCTCTCCATACGTGTTATTCTGTTGGCGTTGTCCCCATTGAGCAAAATCTGCTTGCTCTTTTCCTTGTGCCAAAATTGGCCATTCTGCTGTCACATGCTCAGCTCCACATTCCTCACAATTTGCCTTCTTTGTCTGCGCTGCGTTAGCTGACTGAGTCATGTTTTCCACCTTCTGAAATAAGGAATCAATCTTAGCGGATAACGCTGAATATACATCCACTTCATAAACTCCTGGTGTCTTCTTTGGTACTGCTCGTTCCATGGTCCACATTGCTGAGCTCGTAGCCATTGTCTCATATAACTTCAATGCTTCGTCAATTGTTTTCGTGGACAATGACCCATTAGCCAAAGAGTCAACCATGCTCTTGAAAGCTGGAAGTAGCCCCGCATAGAAATATTGGACCCGACGTCCTTTGCTAATCCCGTGGTGTGGACACTTCCTTAGTAGATTTTTGAATCTGTTCCAAGCCTCATTGAAATTCTTAGATTCACCTTGCCTGAAGATAGATATGTCGTGCTTTAGCTTTGCTATCTTAGCCGGTGGGAAGAACTTAGTATAGAACTTCTGAGTTAGGTCATTCCAGGTAGTAATGCTGGCTATCGGCTGAGAATCAAGCCATTCAATCGCCTTGTCCCGCAAAGTATGTGGAAACAGTCTTAATCTTATGGCGTCGTCAGAGATTCCTTGATATCTGAAATGCTGGCACATCTCTAAGAAACGCGAGACATGCGTGTGCAGATTCTCTTCAATTCTTCCATAAAACTGATGTCCGTTCTGGAACAGTTGTATCACATTTGTCTTCAACTGGAAATTTAGCTGCCCGAACGGTGGATATACAATGCTGGACTGTCTTTGAATGATTTGAGGAGTCATGAACTCTCCAACGAGCATGTTTCCTTCATCTTCTTCCCCTCTTTAATTGTCTTGTACAACATGATTGTGTTGTACATTCTCCATCTGATTTCTCGCTGCTCTGTTTTCTTTCTGCCTTCTTCTTAAGTTTCGTTCGATCTCTGGATCGACTGGGAGTAATTCTCCTTCAGCAGATCTTGGCATGTACTTCTGCAAGAGAATTCAATTTAAACACTTAAATAACTAAAATAAGCACTTAAGTAATAAAATTAAATAAGCAATAAAATAAAATGAACTAAAATAAAATTAACAATAAAAAGTTCGAATTAGTACTAAATTGAATAAAATTAAACGAATACTCAATCCCCGGCAACGGCGTCAAAAACTTGTTCACGAAATAATTCTTTCGATTTAAAACTACCGCAAGTGTACGGATCGTGACAAATAATAAAGTTGATTTTTAAAAGTCCGAATATCGTCCCACAGAGATTGAGTAGTTCAATTTTATATAATCTAGCCTTAACCGAGTCTACTTGAGTGAAAATATGGTCCAAATGCAAAAAGTCGTAATTTCAATTAAAAAATCCTAATTTCTCAATTAGGAACCCTAATCTCGAAATTTCTCTAATTAAACGACTCAAACACTCAAGTAAATGAAATTATGCAAATTCAAAAGCTAATTTATGGAAATGAATCAAAGTAAAGTCACTAGGATCATGAATCCCCAATTGAAGCTATAAAAATCCTAATTTCATAAAATCAATGACCCGATGGAAATTTGCCAATTCAATGTTCCTAAATCTATCCAACATATTCTCTCGATATATATTAGACCTATTCTTGCACACCACCAGCCTATATCTCTATAGATGATGCAAATATATAAGAATGCATGTGATTTTGTGAACAATTAGAGAATTGCATAAAGCATAGGGGTATATCTCTATCCCCTATCGGACCCTATGTTGATTTACACCTTATCGAACATATTCCACTTCTCTCGAATGTAAGAAATAAGTCATCAACACTCACACAATCATTGGCCACTAATTGCGGAAGAAAATCAATGCATATAAACCAATCAAATTGTCCAAACGAGTCTTTATATTAAAATCATGAAATATGAAATTAAAATAACAAACAATGGTTCATCGATCACCTAGTGAATTGAAAACCTAGCCTAGAATATTCATAATTACAGAATAAAAAACGAAATTAATAAATTGAAAGAATAGCACCCGTATGAAAATTTCTTGAAATCTTGAATAAAGCCTTGAAAATCCGCTTGAATTCTTGTGGAATCGGCTTCAAGATCGTGTTTCTTGCCTCCAAAAGTTGTAATTTTCTTCTCCCTGGACGTTCTCTCCTATTTCTGATGCATTTTGGCTTTTATATCATGTCATCACGGAACCCCGAAAGAGTTTCAATCAAAAATGCAAGTTCAGAATTTTTTTCATTTTTTATAGCCATGCGGCTGCATGGTTCAAGTGAAATGGCCCATGGAATCCCTGCAACCTTTTGTGCGGCCGCATGGTACAATTCTGTGAGGCCGTAAGGTTGTAACTTCAACTTTGCTATTTTGGTCCCTGAACTTCGTTTTCTCTTTTCTTAATCTCTTTTCTTTCTTTCCCTTGTTCCATCATCAAATATTGACTCCTAATTGACGTTTGGGTCAATCAATTCCTTGATCACTTGCTCGGCTCATCTTTTGATTAATTACAATTTAGTCCTTCATTTTTCACTTTTCTTCAATTCAGTCCAGTATTACTTCTTTCTTCCTCCGATCATCTTGTATCGTTCTCAAGCTCATACTTGGCAATTTTCATTCTCGTTCTACACTTTAGCTCAACTTTCCAATATTTGCACCTTTGGTCCCCGAACTATCGCTTTGTTTCGTTTTGGTCCTTTTTCTGCTCTTTTCTTCTGAATTCCATATTTTCCATAGAAACACCTACATTGCATGAATTTAACGAGATTAAGTCATAACTCAACTACTTTGTCCATGTTTAAGTCATATTTGTGAGCTAAATAAGTGTGTAAAAACACACTTATCAGTATGAATGCAGTAAAGAGCATTTTTTCTAGCCAAATTTTTTCTTTTGATGCAAGGAATTGTAATTTTGTTATATAACATGTTTCAGCCTTATTTGATTCTCACTAGATTACTTTTGCCCTAGTTGGAGTGACAAAGGTGGAGAAACTTTTCAGTTGAAAATTTTTGATAGAGAATTTGGATATTGGATGTTGCTGTTGAAGAGTTGAAATTTATGTAGAGGAATTTGTCTACAGTTGGAGAATCTTTGAAGTTTGTACATTGCAGTGAAATTCTGTCAAGTTAGAGATTGTTAAAATTAGGCGTAACTCGAGTTCTATTCGGAAGCCCAATTGAAAGTTGGACTTGAAGAGATCAAATAATGGACAAAGGAGAAAAATCGTCGCAATTTCGTTAGCTAGTTGCTAAATTGGCTTTCGAGAGACAACATTAAAATTTCTACAGAGGCTTTGTGTCCACCTAGCACTTGAGTAGTGGAGCTACAGCTTGCCTGGCACTCGAGCGGCATAGTTATCCGACCTAGACCCATTTCGTATTTTGACTTCGTTTTAAGCATTCATTTCCATCTATAACTCTACTATTTGTGTTTGGACATCCGCTGCTTGTTTCATATATATTTGGCTCTTTTCTAAATTTAATTAAGGGTGTTTAACCTTATAGTAAGTTAGAAATATTGTAAATACAAAATCTTTGTATTTTTTTACATATTATAATAAAATCTTCATTCTTTGCAAATTATATTATTATTATTGTATTTTTGTAATCTTTATTTCATATTGTGCCTATAGTCTCATATTTTCTCCAAAAACTTAGTATTGGATTAATCCAGTCCCAGTTTTTCACACAACACAAGTAGTAGGCTATGAACTCGTACAAGGTCCATTAACTCTATTTGGAATAAGTTGGCAATGACTATGTAAGCGACAAAGCATGAAAAATTGCATTACACTCTTTATGGCTTTCTTTTGGCTATAAAGGTAAGTTAATTGATCATATACTTAAACATTGCTACTTATTCTAATAAGTTGGCAATCGACAAAGATGTCGCACCCCAAAACTTATAAAAAATTATTCACAACCCATAAGGTATTCGCATATATGCTATGAGATAGTATTTCACAAGCTGCTTGTATGTAATGGCAATATGCGCATCTTTGTTGCAGCTAAAGGTATTCACTACCTTGCACCTAGCCTAGGGTGAGGTTGGACAACAATGGTGGTTTGAATTGAATATATCGGAGGTTAGCCTAAATGACAATTTGGGTTTAAAGGCTCGTGATTGGCATGAGGAAGAACTGGTCTAGGATGAAGTGGTTGAGGATGTAAGTATTGGTCAGGATATAGACATTAGTGGAGAGTTTGGTAAGACTAAAGTAAACATTTAAGAAGGACGACCTATAGGGATGGAGAAATGCATCTAGAAAGGCATGAGATCACAAGCACATTATGTTAATTTTGATCGACCTACGTAATCAGGGCGTACATGACCATTGATGTCTATTTTTCAACAGGTTTTGATATGCTTTCATCACTGGTCGATCACCATACCACCAGGAAGTACACATATTCGCCTCGCATCATATTCCTCCACCCACTATTGAGAGCACAACTAGATCCGAGATGTCAGAATTGTTGATAGAGCATGACTCTAAGCTTTTGAAAAAAATTGACAGTAGGAATGACTTATTGCCCCTGTTTGAGCCACATTATTTTAAAAAAAAATACATTCTTCAACAGTGATTTGATATCATTTCAATCACACATTCTTCAATAAAATAATATTACACACAAATCTAAAACTTTTCCTAATTTTTAACCGCACACTTTTCATTGATTTGATATCAATAATGCATTTTTTTCCCTATAATGTGGCTCAAACAAGCCTGCCCATTGTAAGCATACTATGATGAACTAATAGGTGTGGAGCATAAGAAGAACGAAACAAGATATTCTGAGTTGATGACAAATATGTTGTGAGAAAATTGACAATAGCATCGACATCTTATGAGTATAAAATAATTAGATGATAGATGTGGAGCATAAGAAGAACGAAACAAGTTATGTGGAGTTGCAGACAACTATATCTAACATTGAGATTATTATGCATCAACTGTTAATAGGCAGGCAATCAGTTGCAACTATAAGCACAGTTGTTGTTACGTTGAGACCCGCAAATATATGGGATCGTTGTACAGGGAATAGAAATAATGAGTTTCAAGTTTATCGTTCCCACGAGAAATAAGATTTAAAATGTAGTTCAATAGTTAGTATTAAATTCGAGTGAGAAGTGATAGCAAAAAAGTGATTTCGTGATTGTCTATACTACTTCTACTCTATACTAATAAAGCAACTAAATTGTGGTTTTATCGAATATGCTTGTATTGGATTCATGAGTCACCCTATTTCCATCTATTTCAATTATTAATTAATAATCTAGTTAATTTTATGTATTTTTAACAATCGATAGCGCAAATATGTTAAATGCTCTTTTTCAAGATACACCAACGTATGATTAAGATGACCTGATCCTGTTCCTAGTCTGAATTCATATGAAAATCATACTTTTAGTTTAGGTTATCTTCCTAATTGCACATACCATAGATATTATTCAAATACCTTTTGCCACGTGTTAATTTTACTGTTTTCTAAATTTCTTGTGAGTATTCTTACACTACAACAAGTAACTAACTATTGAGTTGATGCCCAAACAATTAAATAATGCAATGGAATGCAAAATACAAAAAGAAATAGCAAGAAGTACCTAAATTAAAGTCTAAAATTAAAATAAACAAAAATAGGATTCCTCAATCATCCAATACAATAAAAAAAAATTAGCTAAACATGTTTCTAATGATAAAACAACAAGAAGAATTGAAGAATATCACCCAAAATTTATAAATATAAGATTGAGATGTTACGGTCCAATTCTTGTTCATGATTATCAATCCTAATAGTTGATTCTTTAAATTCTTGATGTATAAGATTCAATCGTTTGTTAGATTTGTTCACCTCATCAACTTATAATGGATTTGCCCCTTATTCTTAAATGATTTTACGATATGGACTTAATTTGAGATTTTAGAAATCCTTCAATGGCTGCCCATCTCTTGTATTTTATATAATGAAATTAGGTTAAAATTCACGTCCAAATTGCCTTCAAAAAGAGTTTCAATCAATAAGGAAAATTGTCTTCGGGCGTGCATATTTTTGTCTCAGCACAACTTTCAGTATTTTTTTTCATAACTTTCCCTCCTAATATTCGATTAAAGTGATTCAAAGTTCGTTGGAAAGATAGCTTAAAGGGCTACAATTTTTTTTAGAGATAGAATTTTTCCAATTCAAATATTTACTATTCCGAAAATTGGTCTCAATCTCTGGTTGAAATTTTGGAATATCCTTTTAGGTTGGAAATTGATTTGTAAAGATCCTTTGATTGTATTTCATTCCTTTTGACTTTTTATTGCATCCAATTGATCTTATGAATCTCCAATTATCAATTTAAAGTCCTTCACAAGTTTTGAATATCACATTTTAGTCCCCCAAACTTTGAATTTTGCCATTTTTATCTATTTTTCGTTTTTATTCCAATTCTTCACCCTTACATAACTGTTTCTAATAAAAGTAATAAATAATAAATTAGTCACCAATATGTACAAAGAATAGTAAAATATCATCATTCAGGACCTTGAATAAGTGTAGAAGCTATACTTATCAATTGTCGTGGAAGGAAATGACATTCTATCGACGACTATAATAAGATGGAAGAGGAGGATCATGATAGAGGAGGATCATGATCATGAATTGGGCTTATATTTCTAATAATCATTTTTCCTAAATAAGCCCAATTTACATGATTTGTGTGTCGTCATAATGATGCCAACTAATGTCATTTTTATATCTGCAAGTGTACGGATCGCAAAACGTAATAAAGTGGACCCATGAGTTTGGATTGTCGTTCCCATAAATACTATACTTCAGCACTTAATTTAATTTTTCTTCAACCACTATTCGATGAAAGCAAATAAAAATTTGTATGGTTTGATTTTTAATCTAAATACGTGAAAAACAATTGGATACACACAAGATTGGTTTAGAAATTAAATAATGTTTTCGCCTGTTAATCATATTTATATCTTAAATTAAGATTCATAAAATCTAAAGTAATGTTTGGTCGAATTCTCCAATTGTATTCAAATAACCTCTCTCGAGTTTTCATTGAACATATTTAACTAATTCAATTTCATATCTCTATGCAAATCATATTTATTTAAACGAATTCTTTATCCTAATAATTCAATTTTGACCGCAATAATTAGTATAGGTACCTCTACTTAAACCAATTTACCGAATTTTATTATATGGTTTAAATTATAAACTCACTTCTCGATTTGTAAATGATTTACTAAATTATTAAATTAGTGATCAAGTAATTTAAGGTATTAAATTCATATTCTAATCAACACGAGAAAAATAAAAAACAAAAATCTTAATTAAAAGACATAAAAGATCCCAATTATGTTACATTATTTATCCTAACATGAGATTTAGCTATTCATAACGAAAGAGAAAAAACAATAATTCGTCATAGAATATATCACTGGATTTGTAGTAAAGATGTAAAAGAAAAAATATCAATCTTGTACCAAGATCTTCTTCCTCTTCCAATCAATACTCTAAATGTTGAATTGGTTGTTGATTTCCCCGAATCTTCTCTTCAATCTCAAAGCGTATTTCTTGCCTCTCAATGTATGAATCTCTTTAAAAGTGTGAGAAAATTGTATTTATAGGTACCTTCCCATGTGTAGAAAATAGGATTTTCTTCTGGACTTCAAATGGGCCAAAAAGCGCCTAGTTGCGTCATTCGACGGCGCCGCAATGCCTAAGGTACAATGTCGCGGCACCACCTCCTAGCTTCTCCTTGCGGGACCCTAAATGTAGCACCACGGCACCACAACTCTGTTTGTCTCACTTTTTTTGGGTGCTTCTGTTTCGCGCGTGTTAATTCACTAACAATTAAAGAGGATCAGACGATTGTGTAAAAGACGAAACCTCTTGAGACAAAGTCCCAAAAAGGGGTGTTCTTTTTATTGGCGATGAACTTTACAATTGGAAACGAAAAACAACGTGCCTCCAAGGGGCGCAAGCACACGAGTTACAGAAAAGGAAGTGTTTAAGTCTAAAAGCTAAAGGAATGAAAATTACATATTCTCTGTTCGAGAGTTTTGGATTCAGTCCTTTGCTTCTAAGTTCTTTCTCCCTTTTATACTTCATAGGCGATCCATTTGTGATTAACTGCTCTAAAAAACTGTTTGATCGCCCTATAACTACCCACTTTCTTTGTAGTGGCCATTTTGTCATGAAACTGTCCTTTTAACTGCTGTCATTATCTTGCATCGTTCAACCGCTTTCGATTGAATCCCTTGAGTCGTGGAACGTGATAAGGTTATTTTAGCAACTGCCTCAATAACTGCATTTCTTGATAATCATAATGCGTTATGTTTGTTGATACCTTGGGCGACTTGAAGATTTGGGCGAGACTCTGGGCGACCGTATGCCACTCTATTCGTTCAGATTCTGAGCGACTTGCAAACTTGGGCGATGGCGTTACCGCACTATTGGGCCCCTTATTTGGGCATTCACCTTGATTCGTTCAATTGGATTTCGTTCTTTGTGCTATCTGATTTGGGGATCCTCCAATTGGGCTTTACTCTCTGGGCTGTTCGATCTGGACTGAATTTTTATGTGTCAACAGCTTCAGCACTACTTGTCCAACAATTTTGCTTTACCTTACTATCTACAATTTCTTTTTAATCCATACCAATAACTTTAATTGATGACATTTTTCGTGTCTTTCACCGTCTCAACAATCCTATAAAACAACATTAACAAGGACATTGAAAACGTTCAATACTTGTAAAATCTAGCTTACAATCAGTTAAAATTGGCTTAATAACAACACTAAATGTTAGAATATAACAAAACCATGCTAAATACTTCAATTTATATATTGCACATTTTTATAAATTTGAGCCTCTTGATTTTGGAAAATACATGTAGTCAAAACAATATGGAATTGATCAATTTGCTTACATGTAACTTTAGAATTACATCGTTACCTTCTTCTTCTCCTTAGTTTAAATATCAAGAAATCAGTATGGTGGATTTGTTAGGCTCTCTACATATGTTATAAGAATAATGTTATTTGTACATATGGAATTATGTAATTTTTTATATATAGATGATGTGTTTAAAAGAGAATGGGGGAGTTTTTTCTATTTGATTGAATAAATTTTGATCCAACTTGATGCTCTTTAGTTTCAATAAATTAATGTCGTGGAACAATTGGCATAAATGATCGCAACCAATAATATGGCGTTAAATATTAAAAAGAAATAAATTTAAGTTAAATGGACCTGTTTGTTTAAAGGAGTATGGCCCTATGAGAGTTGAAAGCTTTATTCTCCCAACTGGGTTCCTTTAACATTTTGAGAGCTTCCTTAGATCAACTTCTATTAATATTTCATTTGTATATTAGATTATTACGGAGCTCTTTATGTATAAGTTGCATTATTCGTCAATTAGTTTACGTCACTAGAATGATTTAAAATAAATGTAAAATTGTTTTAGAAATTGATATCATTTATGGCAGCGAAATTATTTCTTCATGGTTAGTTATTTGAAAAGCGTACAACAGTTGACTCTTCGCCCCCGTTTCGTCCTCATTTTGGAAATAAAAATGGGTGGAATAGTATTTTTTGAAAAATGAGTGGTTAAAAAAAAAAGATATTTTTTTGATTTATGTATAATATTATTTTACAAAAAATTGTGATCGAAAATAGGATGAAGAAAAATGAAATGGGGCCAAACGGGGGCTTGTTTAGCCCCGTGGGTTCCAACTTTGTTTGAGGTTGCTGCATCAAGAATTCGAATCCTGAAATATAGATTTAGCTCTTAAGTAAGTGCAAGTGTATAAACGACATTCCATTGTCTGCCCTATAGGCATAACCTGCTATTTACATACTCGCCGTGGAACCTGTTCAACCTTTAATTTATTTATGTTCGTTCATCTTTCTTCAAATCTGATCCAACTTTGGGTCTGAACGAGAAAACTGAAGTCTAATTTTTGAAAAATAATAATAATAAATAATATATCCAGAAATAGTTCGGATTCCGGTGGCACCCCACTGCTGGGTTATTCGAATCCATTTCACGTTTTATGTCTGTATTAAAGTTTAATTTTCTTGAGGAAGTTGTTCAATTTTTACTATTGGATTTTCTGGCATTTGATTGTGCATATATCGTTGTTGTTATTGTTATTTCTGACGAAATTGGATGGGATCGAAGCCATGGCAGCATCCAGCTCCGACGTATCGCGCTTTAGAGACCTATTGGGACAGCGATGAGGACGCCCCCGGACCTCGCTTCAGCCACACTCTCACCGCCGTTGCAGATACCAAAAACCACGGCCCCCGCATCATCCTATTTGGAGGCGCCACCGCTATCGAGGGTGGCAATGGCGGAGCCCCTGGCATCCGTAATCCTCTCTCGTTGTGTTTCTATTTGATATTTTAAACGAACTAGGAGGTGCCATATATATATTTTTTTATTTATTTATCATCATCATTATTATTTTGTAAATTTGGTTTTCCAGGGTTAGCTGGAGTTACGAATTCTCTTCATTCCTATGATGTTCTCACTAGAAAATGGACCAGGCACGTCGTGTTATAACTACTGCGACTTGCACGTTCTGTTTTTCTAATATACTCTAAATTTTGTAAAAGTTCATTTTGCAGTGTTAGTTGTTAATTGGATCATTTTTTTGTTTTCCCAGACTCCAACCGGCTGGTGAGCCGCCGTCTCCTAGGGCTGCACATGCAGCAGCAGCTGTTGGCACCATGGTAGTGTTTCAGGTGATTGGAGAGCAAGAAACTGCAAAATTTAAGCAAAGCCTGCAAAGGTCTGATTTTTTCCCAAAGAAATTGTATACCAAAATTTAAAATACATGGTTTCTTTTGTTGCTAGGGTGGGATAGGTCCTGCCGGGCATTCTACTGATGATTTGTATGTGCTTGACTTGGCCAATGATAAATACAAGTGGCACCGGTATGTTTTTACGACATACAGATGCATTTACTATCCTCTATATTTTGTTGGTCTTTTGACTTGGTTGTCACTGTTTTGGACTTTAGAGTTGTTGTTCAAGGACAGGGTCCAGGGCCGAGATATGGCCATGTCATGGACTTTGTGGCACAAAGATACCTTGTTACCGTTAGCGGCAATGATGGTGAGGCACAGCTGTCTCTTTTTATCACCACTTTGATGTACTTCTTCATTATATAGTTTGTTTTAAGAGAGAGATCATCCACACTTTTAATTATATAATTGAAGTGCTACATGTAACTAGTTTTGACTGGATGAGAAAACTTCTTTTTGGAAAGTAATTACACCATTGATGAAATCTCAACTAGCAAAATAAGTATTTTACATCATTCATAAAATCTCAATTTGTAAAATAATTGCGAATACCCATTGAGCTGAGCTGGAAATTAATTAGGCTTCCTGTGGTTCTGTTAAAACTTCACCTTCATTATTATTCCTGATCAGCGTTTTAGGGCCTGTTTGACCTTCAATAACTTTTATTATCAGCATTTAGATTTGGAAAATGCTATAAGCGCTAGTATTGGAATAAACCAGACCTTACAAAGTGTGAACTAACCACTTCATCCTTAAGGCCCAGCCAACAGAAGTAATAATATCCCACTCAACAACAATTTTACTCTTCCCAAGTAAAAAATTGTTCTAATCTATCAATCCATCAACTGACAACTTGTCCCCTCTGGCCAACATTTCACATCCGTCAACCCAACCCACCATGCCTAAATACCAAGACAAATCACCTCCCTGAAAATCCTGAGATTTGGCCCCCATCGATCATTTACTTCAAAAAAATTGAAAACCTGAATCGCAAGGAACCTATCTTGATCCGAAGTTCCCACATATGCATGCAGCAATAAACATTTTCAAACAAGTCATATTATTTCTAAATAACTGGAGTTGAGGAAGGTCCTGGTAATTGGGAGGTGGGTAGGTAATGTCACGGTGGTGCTTGTTAGGGTTGTGGAGGGGTTGCAGATGCTCCCCAATAACACCCCTATGCCTACTCTTTTTAACTTGTAGCAAATTCCTGCTACTCTCCAAGAATCTTATTTGAACTCTTTTTGGTTCATTACACAGATCAAAATATTAATGCATCTAGCTTTCACATATATATTTTTGTTTATGATTTTACACTTGGGAAAGATAAGAGTCTCGTGTTAAAAGTTTGAATTCATGTAACGTCATTTATTATATCTTGAAATGCCACACGTGACCATGTGATAATTGGGTTCTCTAATTAACACGGTGATGAGAGATCCGGCCACATTACCTAAATGTGAAATCCCTAAAGAGAAAGTAATTTATTTTTTTCAGAGTTTAACATCATTTTGTTAGGTTGTCAATTAGAAAAACTCCATAGCAATAGCATAGTTCTCAGCAACAGAAAGTTGGAATTCTTAGATTGATTTAAGATGCAGGACAAGCTTGATGCACAGATTCGTACGCTTGAAAGGAAAGGTCACCTGGCTTGATTACGAAGAAGAGGCTGTCTCAGATCATAAGAGAATCGAAGCCCTACGGCTACAACGTAAGCTAGCCAGATGCCTTGCCTCATAAGGTCGGGAAGAGGATGAAGAAGGTAAGGGAGGGACGATTGAAGGTAGGGAGAGTGAAGGCTTGGACGGAGCCGAGCTGATGTTCAAGAGAAATGAGAGGAACCACCGCCCTGAGAACCTTCGAGTTCTAGAGTAGAACCTATAGAAGGGCTTTAGCGTTAGAGTTTAGGAAGGTCAAAGTGGACACCGATGGGATAACTTTAGGCGCTGTTTGAGCCGCATTCTTTCAAAAAAAAAAATACATTCTTAAACTATGATTTGACATCATTTTAACCACACATTTTTCAATAAAATAATATTACGCGCAAATTCAAAACTTTTCCTCATTTTTTAACCACACATTCTCCATCAATCTACTATTTTAAAATACATTCTTTCAAAATAATGTAGCTCAAACACACAATTAACGTAAAAATATGCCTGGTTTCAGTGAAAAATTTCCAGACATGCTTCAATAAATGCGGTTTACTATTAGGTCAATATGTCTGTCATGTGTGGATTTGAGCGTGCATGTGCTGAGAAAGTAGGTCAGACTTGTGATATTGGGACCAGAAATTGCTAACTTCATTCTGTAGAAGTAGTGGCTTTTATCCTTACCTAACAAAAACTTCTGTTCATATGCAGGAAAAAGACTGCTCTCTGATGCCTGGATTCTGGATACTGCCCAAAAACCATACATGTGGCAGAAGCTTAATCCAGAAGGTGATAGACCTTCTGGTAGAATGTGAGTACATGTCTATCGTAATTTTAATTGGTGCTGGTGGATTCTTAAATTTTTTTTCCTACCATAATATTCTGGTTGCAAACATGCTTTAATTTTCATAGATGCAAGATTTTCCACTATTACTCGACTTTGCTCTTGCACTGTAGCATTCTTGTACTGTTTTCAATCTTCTGTATATGAAGAAAGTTCATAGTCGGGCCATTTGATTCATTTATTGAAAAACACTGATTGTATATGAGATTGACCATATGATGCTCTTTGGCTCCTGTCTACCTTTTCTTCTCACTGCTCATGTCTGCTTTTGGAGGCAAGTGAAAATATTTACCTTTTCTTCTTGCAAGTCAGGACTTCATATGTGCATTGTTACAGCTATGCATTATTTATAATGTATGACCACCTTCAGCCTCTGAAAACTATTACTTTTCCACAATACTAATTGTCAAGTGGTTGCTTTTCTTTTCACTGTTATAAGAACTCAATTTGTGATGATACTTGAACAGTCCCAACATATCTGTCATGCTGAGAAAGTGTAAATTGCTGTCAGATTGTTTTTTTATAATTATTGACCAATTATTCATACTGAAGTTCTATGCTTGGGATGTCAACGGCCACAATGTTTTTCTTGCTCAAAAATATACTTAACTGCATTATTGTGAATGCAATTTACATATTACAATTTTTATGTTGTTTTTGGTAGGTATGCAACGGCTAGTGCACGATCTGATGGTATGTTTTTGCTTTGTGGCGGAAGAGACACCTCAGGCATGGTATGGTTAACTTTATGTTGGACATTTGAACTGTTCTTGATAATTCATGTTTTCCAGTTAAATCTTACTCCAAAAAGAAAGAGGACTGGCATAGTGGCATTCTGCCAACTTTAATTTTCTAGATTGAACATTTGCTTGCTTAAGATGAACTATGTGCTGTCTAAGTGTACTTCTATTGTGCATAGGAATTGAAAAATGTCCACATGTGCAAAAAAAGTCAGTCCATTCACATGAAAGTTAGCTTTTATTTTCTGTACTTGCATGGTACAGGTTATGGCTGTATGTTGATAGTGCTCATCTTTTCTATGTATCAAATGCAGATGAGCTAGATTTCCATCCTTTTTCTTCATTTAATGAAAGGTATTATTATGAGACTTAGTGGATACTGCCCAAAAACCATACATGTGGCAGAAGCTTAATCCAGAAGGTGATAGACCTTCTGGTAGAATGTGAGTACATGTCTATCGTAATTTTAATTGGTGCTGGTGGATTCTTAAATTTTTTTTCCTACCATAATATTCTGGTTGCAAACATGCTTTAATTTTCATAGATGCAAGATTTTCCACTATTACTCGACTTTGCTCTTGCACTGTAGCATTCTTGTACTGTTTTCAATCTTCTGTATATGAAGAAAGTTCATAGTCGGGCCATTTGATTCATTTATTGAAAAACACTGATTGTATATGAGATTGACCATATGATGCTCTTTGGCTCCTGTCTACCTTTTCTTCTCACTGCTCATGTCTGCTTTTGGAGGCAAGTGAAAATATTTACCTTTTCTTCTTGCAAGTCAGGACTTCATATGTGCATTGTTACAGCTATGCATTATTTATAATGTATGACCACCTTCAGCCTCTGAAAACTATTACTTTTCCACAATACTAATTGTCAAGTGGTTGCTTTTCTTTTCACTGTTATAAGAACTCAATTTGTGATGATACTTGAACAGTCCCAACATATCTGTCATGCTGAGAAAGTGTAAATTGCTGTCAGATTGTTTTTTTATAATTATTGACCAATTATTCATACTGAAGTTCTATGCTTGGGATGTCAACGGCCACAATGTTTTTCTTGCTCAAAAATATACTTAACTGCATTATTGTGAATGCAATTTACATATTACAATTTTTATGTTGTTTTTGGTAGGTATGCAACGGCTAGTGCACGATCTGATGGTATGTTTTTGCTTTGTGGCGGAAGAGACACCTCAGGCATGGTATGGTTAACTTTATGTTGGACATTTGAACTGTTCTTGATAATTCATGTTTTCCAGTTAAATCTTACTCCAAAAAGAAAGAGGACTGGCATAGTGGCATTCTGCCAACTTTAATTTTCTAGATTGAACATTTGCTTGCTTAAGATGAACTATGTGCTGTCTAAGTGTACTTCTATTGTGCATAGGAATTGAAAAATGTCCACATGTGCAAAAAAAGTCAGTCCATTCACATGAAAGTTAGCTTTTATTTTCTGTACTTGCATGGTACAGGTTATGGCTGTATGTTGATAGTGCTCATCTTTTCTATGTATCAAATGCAGATGAGCTAGATTTCCATCCTTTTTCTTCATTTAATGAAAGGTATTATTATGAGACTTAGTTGTCCCAAAAAAAAAAAAAAAAAAGAAAAGAAAAGAAAAAAGGTAAAATAAAGATGAAGCCAATAATGATTCAGATCCCCTCCTTCCGTAACCACTCATATAACAAAATCAATCCACCGCTGTCCCCTCATTATCGCTGCCATTGCAGCCACCATCATTTTCGCAAGTGGTGCTTTCGCAAGCCAAGCCAGGCCAACATGCCTCGATCTGCCCAAGGAGAATTCGACTGCTACCAGAGTGATAGCAGCATGGGATGGGCTGATAGGGACGGTGGACAAGTGGACAAGAAAAAATGTATTTGGGATATGATAATTATGGATATTCTAGTGAACTAATATGAAACGTCGAGGGTAAATCAGCCCTTTTGGATGTTTATGATGAGAAGTTTTGTAGATCCAACGGCATGGTCCTCTGCTAAGTTTCAATACTTGTGAGGCTAGGTGACAAGTTCCAATAGTTCACAGCGTCTCAATGCAAGTACTTAATATATGTTTCTTTGGATGTAAATTGATAATGCACATATTCTTCTTTTCCTAGATACTAAATTGAAGCTTTATGTTGGGGCCTACATTGGAGTGTTTTTGATTGAGATTATATATTGAATTCATGCCTCTGCAGCCACTAGCAGATGCATACGGACTGCTTATGCATCGGAATGGGCAGTGGGAATGGACTCTGGCACCCGGGGTTGCACCTTCCCCGAGGTATCAACATGCTGCAGTAAGTGATTTCCAGATATCTACACCCTAGAATTCATTTCGTAATTATCAAGTCTGCTACAGGCAATATATTAAAATTTAAATTCCTTTTATTCATCCTTAAAAAACTGTCTTGGTTTTTTCTTTCTTTTCTTTGGGAATGGGGCTTAAAGTTTTAAATGGAGAGGAAATTTATACCTGGAGGTTAGGAGTTGTAAGATTATAAGTGCTGATTGGATTAGGTCCTCGGCAGTTTCATTGATGGCACAGTTACTTGTCTTTATTCCCACAAAATCTTCAATAATCGTAATGTTGGGTTTCATCAGGTTTTTGTTGGTGCAAGATTGCATGTTACTGGGGGCGTTCTTAGGGGCGGACGAGCAGTAGAAGGTGAAGCAGCAATTGCAGGTAAGTTTAGAGGCTTTTTTTCTGGTTTGTTAATTAGAGTGATTACTCTTAATGTGAAAGTAATTTATATTTATATTTGAATTGGTATTTCTGTTTGAAGTACTGGACACCGCTGCTGGAGTTTGGCTAGACAGAAATGGGCTGGTGACTTCACGGAGCAACAAGGTACATGCCGAGGATCCCTCTTTGGAGGTTATGCATCGTCATCGCCATGCAGCTGCATCTGTTGGTGTTAGAATATATGTTTATGGTGGTCTTAGAGGAGGTAAGGTTTTAATAGCAGATGCATCCAATCTTCTTTTACCCCTCCCCCCTAACTTAATCAAGACCTGCCATCAGAATCTGGATGATGACAACAATACAAGCAACAACTGCTTGATAACAGCACCTAGCTTTACGATTTTGGGGAGTGAATTTAAGTTTTTCATAATTTTGTATGTAATTTTTCTTAATTAAATGTACAAAAGACAGATTTGTAATTTTCTTTTTGAATTTCAGTTTTTGAAGAAACCACTTCCCAGCTCTCTTTTGAAGGATTGAGAGCAGAGATTTTTATGGAAAAATATTTGCTTTCATATTTCTTTCTAAATCTGACCAGAAACACTTGTGGTGCGTTTGGTTTGCGTTTTCGTTTTCTCTTTTCATTTTTGAAAACAGAAAACGTTTTCTATTTTGAGGGAATATTTTCAAATTACAAAAAACGTGTTTGGTTTGTCATTTTGATAAACGGTTTCACAAAATAGAAAACTAGAAAATGCATTTGGTTTAAAATTTTTAGAAATTGTTTTATGACATTTATTCAATTAAAATGATTATTTAGTAAAGCATAATAATTTTATGTTAATATATTACCAGATAATATATATTTTAAACTTGGTGAATTTACTATTTTTCTTGTTACAAAAATAAAATAATAAATAATAAATGTTTAGAAATTGTTTTATGACATTTATTCAATTAATTTGATTATTTAGTAAAACATAATAATTTTATACTAATATATTATCAGATAATATATATTTTAAACTTGATGAATTTACTATTTTAAAAGTATTGCTAAGCATCCCAAAAAAAAGAAAAAGAAAACGGCATGTTTTGATCGTTTTCCGCGTTTTGAGTTTTTTAACTGAAAACACTCGAAATGAAAAAAAATCTTTTTGAGCTTTCAGTTATAAATTTTTGCTTGTTTTCGAAAATGCATTTCGAAAACGAGTGACCAAACACATTTTGGGTGTTTTCGAAAACTAAAAACAGAAAACGGCAAACCAAACGCCCCCTTAATTTGTAGCTCAAATTTGAATGATATTTCATGGACTTTGTTCATGTGATGGTTAACGTCACTTAACTATGTTTTCTATCTTTTCCTTGTCCTGGGCCAAGATGTCCAATGTCAAAGATGATCTGTTATTTCCATTAAGTTTGAGCTAAAATAGGAAGGAAGCCATCTTGTGCTGATGTGTGAATGCATGATGAGATGTCAACCAGCCCTATGTTTTTTTGTGAATTGTTTGTTCATTGATAACATTTTCATCATTAAATCCTTCTCTTTCCTAGAAAGGTTGGATTTACAGGGCATGGAGACTTGTTCCTAATACAAAACAGAATACAGGAGTTTAAACCACCACAAACAATTCCTTTTCCATTTCATTTGCTAAGATGCCTGTTAATCTGCTGTAGTAATTAATACCTGGTGGAGAGTTGAAGTGTGCATTATATTTACTGATGAAAGTAAACCCCTCCTGTATGTAGACATGAGTGCATAATGATCTTTACATGGTGGTTGGATGACATGGTTGTATGCGGCAGTGTTTTCATGATTACAGTTCGATTTATTATCCATCCATGGAACATCAGCAACAATGTGGGTCTAGAAATTTATGAATATCATAATTTGTATCTTTTTGATATATCCTTTTTATTTTCTGAATTTATTATTATTTTTTTAACTGTTGCAGATACTTTGTTAGATGATTTTATGATCGCAGAAAATTCTCCATTTCAATCTGACATCATTTCCCCAGTTTTAACATCTGAAACAGCCTCAACAACTACAAGTCCAAGGTCAAACCATCCTAATTTAACTTCAGATACTCCCGCACCAACTCCAGATGGAAGACCTGAAATCTCCTTGTAGTGTTTTTTATCCCTGGCCTGCTTTTAAGTTCTTGATAATTAATAAAGATGTTTTCAATCATACAGTGCAAACACAAATTCCATGGAGAAACTCGCTCAAGCATCTGCTGCTGAAGCCGAGGCTGCTAATGTTGTCTGGAGGGCAGCGCAGGCATCAGTTAACCTTGAAGAACCTTCTGTATCAGATAATAATTTGCAAGCTGCAGAGGCCATTTTGGAGGGAAGTGATATCGAGGCTGATGTTCGCCTTCATACTAGAGCGGTATGTTTGTGCACTGTCTTGTATTTGTATTATGGATCTATTTATATCGAAGACATTTTAGCACTATTTTCAAGGCTGCAGGTTGTAGTTGCAAGAGAAGCTGTGGGGAACTTGGGGGGTATGATTAGGCAGTTATCCTTGGACCAATTTGAAAATGAAAGTAGACGAATGGTTCCATTGCATAATGATCTGTCACATCCAACCAAAAAGTTCACGAGGCAGAAGTCTCCTCAAGGCCTGCATAAAAAGGCAAGATTTTTATCTTTGTGCAGTGTTTCAAAATAAAGAGAATAAAAAAAGAAAAGAAATGTTGAGACATTGTTATTCTTGTTCAGTAGATTGTATTTATCTGTGGCAGATCATATCTACGTTGCTTAAGCCTCGAAATTGGAAGCCTCCTGCTTACAGAAAGTTCTTTTTGGACTCTTATGAAGTGGGTGAACTTTGTTATGCCGCCGAGCAGATCTTCATGCATGAGCCCACAGTTCTCCAGCTGAAAGCTCCTATCAAAGTGTTCGGTGATCTTCATGGACAGTTTTGTGATCTGATGCGGCTATTTGATGAATATGGATTTCCTTCCACTGCAGGAGACATAACGTAAGTTCATAGTTGAATCTGAACTGTTACTATCTTTGATTTGTTACCTGCAGGGACTTTTTATCTTTCTTTTACTAAGATAACATACGGCCAGGCTTGTGATTACGTACCTATTAGCCTCATAAGCGAGTGCATCTTTACAGTATAATTTTCAAGTTTGAAATATAGTACTTTGCTTAACAAATTTATCTAATCATAATTTATCAGAAGGGGAAATGGAAGTGTTAAGCTAGTTTCATTTTATCCAAACGGGCATCTCCATACTGCCAAGCCAGCTTAATAAATAATGGTTGAAAGCTGTGACCCTAAATTGAAAACTTTTGAATATCACGATAGGTTTTTCAGGATTAAGGAAGTTTGATAGTCTTGTATAAAAAGAATATTGGCACAAAGCAAACGGCATCTCATCTTGGTGCGATAAAGAGTTGATTTATCGTCTATTATCCACGTCTCTCTATATACTATTTGTCGGTGAAGTTGTATTCCTCATAGTTGAGCTGCTTAGAGTAAGATGGCGTCCAAATCTTGACCCACAAAAGAAAGCCAATATATATGGTGCCGTATTTGCTTAATGGCTTCCCAAGGTAACTTAATCTGTGTTCTTGCCACTAAGGATTAATTAGGCCCTTGTTTGGGCTCCATTTTTGAAAAAATGCATTTTTTCTCTCTTATTTTCAACAATGAAATATCTAACCAAATAATATTACACGTAAACCCAAAAATTAACCATACATTCTCTAAAAAATCATTATTCAAAACACATATTCACCCAAAATCTATTTTTAATGGAACCCAAACAAGGGCTAGATGTCATTTGAAACATCATTTATCAACGGTCAACGTGGTGTTGAAATAAGAAGGTCCAAATGGCAATTAAAATAAAATAGAATGCTTGCCAAACCAAGCTCGAACCAAAATTGCTTTGTTGAAATCGTCAGTTTGGTGCTACATAGACCTGATAATTAAATGGTTTTGAAATAAATCGTACCATTCTAAAATAGTTTGGTTTAGATTTTAAAATTTTAATGGCAGTTTGATACCAAATCGGACCATTTGAAAATAAAAGGTTTTAAAGTTTTTGCCAAAAAAAATTATAATCTTAACCTCTAAAATAAAATATAACTAATAAAATTTAATACAAAGGGGGGAATTTAGTCAACTTTCCATTACCAAATACCAAATAAATAATTAATTAACCTAATTTCATAATCCCATTGTTAAGAATTTCTTTGATTTGGTTAGTATTTAAATTTGTAGTTTGATATAAAAATAAATTTTTTTATCGCCAATAAACTATGAAAATATTTTATAATCATTGAACTAGTGATGAAAAAGTAAACAAGAAAAATATACAGTCGAATCATGGTTTGAAATCAAACCAAACCGTTTGAATGGTATGGTTTATGGTTTGGTTTTTCTCAAACCATTTAAAACGGTTTGATCTGGTAAAGTTTGGCCAAATCGGACCAATACAACCCTATGCTATAGCAACTTACCAAGCAATAAGAATAGCTTTTGAAAAATACTAGTGCACAAAACAGGAAGCTGAAAAGGTGATTCCAGAGGCTTTTACTGAAAGGATATGAGCTGTATATTTATCTTGAAATCAAACATGGACAGAAAGCTATCTACAAGATATCTCGACATAAGGGTAATGGGAAGTAGAGATCAGAACTGAGTTAAGTGTATTAACAATGAAAACTAAAGTCCATGTTATTTAATGAAAGACTGTGGATATTGGGAATTTGTTGAACTCCACTTTAGATAGGAATTTTAATTGTAGTTGAAGGATTCAGTTTTTGGAATTGAGGGAGGCTGTGAAGTGGATGAAGATGAGAAAAATTTCAATCAAAGATTGCAAGTGTTTAGGCGAAATAGGTATTCTATGATTTTCAAAATTGTTCAATGAGATTATAAAGAGTGAAAAATGGATGAAGGATGATATTAAGCTTATTGATAGAGAGAGAGAGAGATTCAATATTGTACACATTAATAGAGTATTAAGCTTATGATACTATGAAATTATTAGAGAGAGTGATTGTGTGACAACCCGAATCCTTAACGGTTCGAGTGTCATTAAACTAAACTAAACTAATTTAAAGAATATTCAGCATAATCATATAAATTATTTAAGTACTTAACAAAATTTAATTAATGTGATGAATTTAATAAATTAACTAGGAACGAGAAATCTTAAAACATTTAAAATCCAATGAAATAATAGTTTGACAACTTACAATTTTATTATTGAAACCATTGCCACCATAAGCCATCTCTGTGTCAACTGCTTCAAATCATCAATTATCTGAAAGTAGAAACATAATAGGGTGAAAATAATTCTCAATAAGCTTGCATGGATGATGAATTCATATATGTATTTCTACGGAAAATTCATAACTTGCATAGGAAGACACGAAAATTAGACCGAACTTATATGGTGCTAAATTCTCGTGCATAGCGCTACTAAACTTAGTCTGTTCTTAATAAAACATACGTAACATGGACCAAACATAACATAGCCGTAGAAATGTTACATACATAAATATTAGCCATCATAAATATAAAGCACAACTTACCTTTTTTTTTATTGGACAATCCAAAATGATAAAATGAGTTATTGTTGAAAAGAGATCCTCGAGCCGAGTGTGGAGTTGATTATTTACCGTGTGATTGTATAAGTATACGACTATATTTAATATCAAAATGACGAGAAATAGAGGAAGTGGGGAGACAAAATTATAGAGGTAAGAGGGAGAGTGTGTAAATAGTTGTTGAGTGCCGGGTAATTTGGTATTGGGTTTGTCTCCTATTTATAATGAAAATTCTTGACCATGTGTAGAAAAGTGACAGGAAATGCCTAGATGCTAGGCATGGTCAATTCTTAAATGTTGTGTTGTCACGAAAATGATAAAATCAATAGCTTAAATCACGTGGTTAAATCAATTCATTTAGCTTAAAACTTGGTGTAAATGATGCATGTGGTCATATCAATTTTCTTTATTTACGTGATCAAGTCAATTACATTGGTTTGAAATGTGGTTTGAATAATGCATGTGGTCAATAATTCATCATTAATCAAGACCAATTAGCATATTTACATATATTTTATGCATGATTTCATCTAATTTTCAAAATAACTTTCTACTAGTAAGGTCATTAGACTAGACCAATAATCAATAAGGTCATTTAACTTTAATGATAGTGCACTTAAGTCCTAAATTTAAATTTAATTAGCTGTAAAATTTCGGATGTTATAGATTCAGCTTATATTAAGGTGTAATTCATAGGTATCGTAAAATTATATCGGCTTTTACTAGGAAAATCCATAATATGAGCCATTTACCTGCTAAGAGATCAATGAAGTATATGGAAAAGAAACACAATTTGCCTATGGGTAATAATATTATTGATATAGAAAAATGTATATGATTGAGTGCCTAGGAACATGCTATGGTGGTTGCTAGAGGAAATTTCAATATTTTATTTAATTGTATGATAGAGTAGTCTTGAGCATGAAATGTTTGGGCGGGAGTAGTTAGAAATTCTCTATCGTTGTAGGAAATTAGTTGTAGGAAATTAGAGATTTGGACGATTACTTTGGAAATTCAAATGTTTTGAGTGAAGTAGAACCAAAAGAGAGTCCATGCATGACATCTTAGTAATAGGAATAATGAAGATTACAGAGGATTCAGGAATTGAAGAGGATGTAAAGCAAATGATTAAAAAATGTTGGATAAAATGCGGAATTGCTATAGAAATTCTATATTAAGAAATATCATTATAGGTTAAAAGGACAAAATTCGTGAACGTGCGATGCTGTTTCGTAGTGAATATTGAGAATGACAAAGTTCTTAAAATGAATTTAGCAGAAATGAGGATACTAACATGGATGCGTGGTCATACTAAAACATTTAAGATAAGAAAAGAGAATATATGAAAACAATTGGAGGTGTTACCAATTGAATATAAATTAAGTGAAGGACGACTTAGCTGGTTGAGACATTTCCTTGCATAGACTTAAAGAGGCTCGTTCGATAGAGAGATGCAACCTTGGTAGAATATGATACAAGCGAGAGTGGAGACCAAATTAAAATGGTTTGTTGTGGTTGTTGAGAATCTAGTGGCTTTGTACTTTCCAATAGATGTGTCAATGAAAAGAACGGATTGGAGAAAGAATTCATGTAGTTGCCCCATTATTTGACAAAAGACTTAGTTCAATCCTGTTATTTTGTAATGTGCACCAAATAGTATGTCCCAAACTTCTGAAGACTCAGCTACAGCTAGCATCCCTCAAGGTCCATAAAAGGAAAAGGAAATTAACTGACCTTAGTAGCAATGTTTCTTCTAACATACCTCCTATAGCTCTCAAAATCATCCTGTGACGTACAAATTTTTGAAAGCATGACACTGAATATGAGGTTCAGTATGGAAATGATTTTACGAAGTAGAATGTGATGCTTGGAGGTTATATAGACGACGTATGTCCTCAAAGTTGCAGCAACAAAATATCATATATCTTTTTTATTTTTGTCTTTCCAGAATGAATTTTATCTAGCAAATGCATATAGCTCTTACTGAATGTAATCATGGTTATGACAGTGATTGGTGCCTTTTAGCGTAAGCATTTAGAACTATATGTTTTCTCCCCCTTAAGATCTGAATGACAAGTGTCAAATTTCTTGTGGAGTCATTTAACAGGTATTTATTTATGTCATTTCAGTTATATTGACTATTTGTTTCTGGGAGACTATGTCGATCGAGGACAGCACAGCTTGGAGACCATCACTTTGCTCCTGGCTCTGAAGGCAAGTAAATTGACTGAGTTATTGCTTGTTCTTAGATTTGAGTGTGTTTGGCTAAACTTAAAACTTGCTTTTAAGCATCTTAATATGCCAAGCACATTAAAGCTTAAAAATGGTATAGAAAAAAACTGGGAATACCTTTTTTGTGATAAAAATGATGGTGGCTTTTTAAAAAAAGGTTTGATCCCTCAACCTTAAAAATGCAACACGTTATTAAAATAGTATGACGGTTTTTTTGGTCATTTACTACATTTACATTACTTCAAAGTAATTCTTTCTCAAACAAAAATTTACTTATAATACTTGACCCTACATACGCACTAAGAAAGTAAACTTACCTTTTTACTTTAAAGTGACTTGCTTTTTTTTTTTTAAGCTTAGCCGGACATGCTTTTATTGAACTTTTTATATACTAATTGTCCTTTCAGATTGAATACCCTGAGAATTTTCACTTGATACGTGGGAATCATGAAGCTGCTGACATTAATGCACTTTTTGGCTTTCGCATTGAATGCATTGAAAGAATGGTATGCATGAGCATCCAAATAAATTTCCTTTTATCTTTATAGACTCTGGGAGTCTGATTAATGATATGATTGATGTGCATATAGGGAGAGAGGGATGGGATCTGGGCGTGGACACGTTTCAATCAAATGTTTAACTGTCTTCCACTTGCTGCATTGATTGAGAAGAAAATAATCTGCATGCATGGTGGCATAGGGAGGTCGATAAACGCAGTAGAACAGATAGAGAAACTCGAGAGGCCTATAACAATGGATGCCGGGTCAATCGTACTCATGGATTTGTTGTGGTATGTGTAACTTCATATCCTTTGATTTAGCTCTTATACAACAGTTTTTAGCACTTTATGTTTTCTTGTAGGTCTGATCCTACTGAAAATGATAGTGTAGAGGGTTTGAGACCAAATGCCAGAGGACCCGGTCTTGTCACATTCGGGGTATGCATTTTATAAGCCACTGTAGAAATGTGGTAAAATCACAATAAATACCTATCTATTTGTTCTAATCTTCTCTGTTTGTATGATATAATTGTGCATGATTTTTAAGAAATCACTTCTTTTTTTCCCCTTTCGATAAAGCGTACATGATGTCTGAACTAGAGTTTCCCGACCAACATAAATTTTCTTTTGGAATCAATTGTGATGATGTTAGCCTATGTATCTCTTATGACTTCATCTTAGCTATTATTATGCAAAAGTATTTGCTTGTCATTACAAGAGTTCACTATGGAATGTTTGTCTGTGTCAAGTGTTTACTTATAACTAAATAATTTTAGAATAAATTTTTTTATTGAATAAAGCTGGAGCTAAGTATGTTACCTTTTTTATATATAAATGTAAGAGTTACTTTCAAAAAGTTAATTGTACTTATTTTTTAGCTTAGCCAAACGTGTGTTCTTGATTTATCCATTCACAGTCTTGATTAGATCCATTTTCTACCATTGTCCATAGTAAAAAATCGTTTTGCTTACTCTATTATCACTCGCAGCCTGATCGGGTCACAGATTTCTGTAAGAAGAACAAATTGCAATTAATCATAAGAGCACATGAATGTGTTATGGATGGATTTGAACGATTTGCTCAGGGCCAGTTAATCACTTTATTTTCTGCAACCAACTATTGTGGTATGCAGTTATACTCTTTAATGTTTTTTTACCTTTTTTCTTCTGTAGCTTAAAACATAGTCTAATTGAACAAATGCATTCAGGAACGGCGAACAATGCTGGGGCAATATTGGTTATTGGTAGAGGGTTGGTTGTTGTTCCTAAACTAATTCATCCGTTACCACCTCCTCTTCAGTCCCCAGAGACATCTCCTGAGCGATTTACAGACGATACGTGGATGCAGGTAACGCTGTTTTAGATTTTTTCAGATTTTCATCAGTGCATAGGGTAGAAAACTATTAGTCGCTCAACTTATGGCTATATGTCCTGTCTCACCAAACTAAATTTTGTTTCAAAGTGGTCACTGAAGTTCGGTTTTCATTTCAGTTTTTCACTCACAGAATCTGATAGTTTTCTAACGGAATGTCCAACATGGAAGACTTCCATGTCAGATTCCCGACTCCTATGTCAGGCATTCCATCATTAAAAAAACTAACGAATTTTAACTAGTAACCATTAAAAAATAAAATAAACAGCTGCAGCAGCAAATTTTAGTGTAAATTTTTGAAACCATCATCCTGTTTGAGTACTAATGCCTGATAATGGTATCTCATAGGAGCTTAATATTCAAAGACCACCAACTCCAACACGAGGTCGCCCACAGCCCAGCCTAGACCGAAATTCACTTGCCTATATTTAACGTCACTCATTGATCCGTGTATATTGTAATGTTGCACGGGAACAAAATTCTTTCGGGGGGACAGTTATTCGATGTTCAAGTTGAAGCCCTGGAATTTATTGTCCACACTGCTGTATTCTACAGATACAAGAAGTGTTGTTTTGTTGTAATACACACTGAGAAGGGTGGTAGGTAAATTGATGGATGATGCAGTTTTTCTGATACTGGAAGAGTATATTGTGGGGGGACATTGTATTTTTATTATAAAAATTACGGAAAAATTAATATAAAGTAATCACAGAAAGATAGGTAAGTTTACATATTTATGTGCCTGTTAATGTTTGTTGTTTGAAAATATATTGAAATGAAGATTAATTGCTGTTTTACTTTGAAATTTGAAGTTTTTGGAGTGGATTTCTAAGGAAGATGAGAGCTTTCTCAATCTTCTAACTGAAAACACGGACTTGTTACGGAACTTCAGGCCATTAATAAAATAATACTCTCCCTGTACCATAAAGAAATAAAGAAAGACTAGTTTCAATTTTTGTACATTTTAAGAAAATAATCAAAATATAGTTTATATAGTTGAAAATATAATTTTTCTAATATTTTTATACATTAAATGATGGTTTAAATAGAAGTATTTCCTTGTAAATGGTAAGTTTTTTAGTGAATAACAATTGTATGTCTGCAATCCTAAAAATTATCATCATATTTCTAATTGTTCTTTATAAATGCGAGTCTTTGGTTCTCATTATAATACACACAAGTCTATTGATTTTTATAATTCAACCAACATCAATGCTTTTATATACATATACGATACGATTAACCTCTTTTTCATCTATTCTGCCGCCTCGTTGCAACAGTGTTTATTCATTAAATTCTCCTTTTCTTTTGATTCGTGCATAATCATATCATCATTTTGTTGGTAGCATACATGTGTTAATTGGTTTGCATTAACAAATTGATTTGAATTTGTTTGTCTACGAGAGTGTTCCTTAATAATAATTATACATGCATCAAATTTATCGATTCACGGTTGTACACGTTTGCGTTAATGAATTCACGTCATTAATTTATTTATTTTTTTCACCCAATTCATGTTAATGAATTCAAGTCAACTTATGCGTTTATAAATTAATTAAAATTATCATTGTAGTATGCAATTTAATGTTTCATCGTTTTTTTATTTTTTTTATGTTTAGCAATAAAACATCAATTATTGAATTCATTCTTAATTAATGTTGCTCTCGAAGTAGCACAATTATATAAATAATGCATGACTCCAGAAGAGATAATATTTTTAGATAATAGTTTATTGTTACTCCTAAAATAGTACATTATTATAATTAATACTTCTGAAAAACATGAATTATAATTTCGATATTTTAAAAGAATATTGACATATTGTTCTTGAAAAAGCAATGATAAAGTATAACGTGCTCCCGAAATAGAACATGTTTCAAAAAATATAGTATTTTGAATTAATGTTTATTCATGAAGGAAAATATATAACTCATGTCATGTATAATATTGACTACTTGATTAATTATTATATGATTATAGAGTGTTTAATCATATTCTTCAAAACTAATTGTACTTTTTTATTGTGTAATTAATCAAACGGAAAATATCATAAAACTCGAGTTTACTATACTTAACGTATCGCGCAAGAATTATCAATCACGGGTCCTCGATGTTAATATTCATCTTGTATCAAAAGGTCTGGGAGTGATAATAGAATAGGAAAAAAAAGAATTCTTGTGGGATCGTGCAAAAATGCTTATCTTCCATCGTCATCACATTCATGATGGATTGAAAATCGAATACCTCACTTAGAAAGCTTCACGAGTTCTTTGAAAAAATTTGACTAAAAGATTTGATCATTAGAGGATTATAGTCCTTCTCAAAACCCGCTATGTATAGATACATCTTCGTTTGCAAGACTTTAAAATTGTTAATGAGTACAATTCTAAACTATTTAGAATTATTCAAAATTGACTGTGTGGAGAAAAAATCGCTAATGAAAATATGTTGGAGTAAACATTTTTTACTTTTCATGCCTCGAATGTGCTCTTGCACAGTAATATCGCGAGCGTGATTTCAAAAAATACTCAAAACTTATATTTTACCTATTTGTGGCTGAACAAAATAGTGAACTGTTGATGAAAAATCATATGTGATTTCCAACTAGTTTTTTGTTCAAAATGCACAAAGCAAACATAAGTAACATATCCAAAAAGGAGCATGAAGAAAGTTGCTTTAAATGTAGAATGAAATAGCATTAGGTACATACCTATCGTACGATAAAATATCATGTGGATCTTTATTAAAAATCAACCAAGGGAAAAAGGAAAAGTGGAAACAAATTTTGTTGATTATAATGGTCCAATTAATGTGACTTATTTGGATGTCTCTTATTTCTTTACTGATCCAAATTGAAAAATTGATCATTTGATTGGAGGTGGTGTAATGAAAGATATAGATTAGTTTACTTTTTAGTATTCCCCTTTGTCTCAAAAGTTCAGTTTGAAATAAGCTTTTCCTTTTCGCAAAAAAATTGAAATTTTATTATATATCTTTAATTTCATAATATTGAATTATGTTTAGCCCTTTTAATTTATATTCAAGTTTTTTAAAAAATATCTATTTTATTATATTCATAGATTTATGAATTGTCAAGACACATGCTTGTTGATGGTACAACTACTCAAATTATTCTTCATAATAAAAAATATTTTTTGAGCTTTACGTTAGCAGAAAATAATGTTAATACAATATTAGGTACATCGAATATTGTTGAAATCTCCAAAAAAGATTGTATTATTTTACAAAATAATACAAAATTATATATTGGCAATGCACTTTATTATAGCAAATTAAAAAAAAATGGTACTTAGCACATTCTCCCAATGGATGTCACATTGAGACGGTGAAAGAAAATAATATTGAATATTTTCGCATAACTTTTTTCGTATTTGACGAGAAGTAGATAAAAAAATTCATGCATTTCTATTTAGTTATAGATTTATAAAAATTGTTGAATAAATATTGTGACAAATCAGAAGTTCATTAACCCAAAAAAATTTATGCTTTGTCATAATCGACTTGGACATTCAAGAGCTATGCATTGGATAATAAGTAGCTCACATGAACATTTTTTAAAGAACCAAAAAATTATTTTGCTTAATGATTATCCATGTGTAGCTTGTATGCAAGGTAAGTTAATCATTAGACCTTCGACTACAAATATCAATATTAAATCTTCAACTTTCTTAGAAACAATTCATGGAGATATATGTAAGTCAATACACCTACCATGTGAACCATTTCGTTATTTTATGGCATTAATTGATTTCTTTTACTAAATGCTCACATGTTTGCCTACTTTCCATTAGGAATGAGGTTTCTAAAATTACGAGCTAAATTTCACGATTACTCAATCAAAATAATTCGTTTTGATAATGCTAATGAATTCAGATCGCAAACATTTGATGATTATCTATGCCAATCGGGATTGTTATTAAACATTCAGTTGCACATATTCGTACACAAAATGATTTAGTGGTAAATGTCTACAATTCATTGCTAGACCAATAATTATAAAAACAAATCTTCCAAATTCTATTTGAGGTTCTGACATATTACATGCTTCATCATTGGCTTGTATAAGAGCAATTGCTTACTATCAATATTCACCTTTACAATTTACATTTGGTCATGAACCCAATATTTTTCAAATATACGTTTCCACCCTACAACATATTAAAATGGGTCCCCAATGAAGAATTGTGGTTTTATGAGGATTTTGATACACCCTCTACTATTAGGTATCTTGAACCTTTAATGGGTGAGTTATTTACTGCATATTTTGCAGATTGTCATTTTGATGAAATGACTTTTTCAACTATGGGAGGGATAAAACTATATCATGAAAAACAAGGTAAAATGTCTTGGACTAAAACAACTCTATTTCACTTTGATCCCCGCAGCAATCAATGTAAGCAGAAGGTCAAAAAATCATTTATTTACGAAAGTTGCAAATCATTTACCTATGTATTTGTTAATATAAGAAAAGTAACAGTCATATATACCAACAGAAAATATGTCAGCAAAAATTGATGTCCCTGAATGGCAATCTGCTGTAACAAATTAATCTCAAATATGTCAGAAGTATGGTCGATCCGTTTGTTCAAATGACTCTATACCTCAAAAAAGAAAGGTACAAGAGAAAAATCAACAAAAAACTTTAGAAGTAACATTAGAAAATATTGATCAATCAAATATTGAAAATATGGTTCCTAAAAAATCACAAATGTCCGAAAATAATGATATTACATTAAATTATACGTTATCTCGTAAATTATGGGAATGAAATAATGTTATTCGCATTTAACGTCGCTCTTGATATTATGTAAAATAAGGATCATGAACCACGGTGTGTTAAAGATTGTCAACACAGAAATGATTGGTCAAAATGCAAAAAAGTTTATATAGACAAAACTGAATTCCCAAAAGAAATGAAAATTGTTTGGACATATAGTTCAAACACCAGAAAATACAACCCCTGTATGATACTCAATGGGTTTTTATACGAAAGAAAAATGAAAATAATAAAATTTTGATTATGAGAAAACACACTCTCCCATAATGAATACTATTAATTCAGATTTTTAATTAATTTGATTGCATCACAAATTTTAGACATGCACCTTATGGATGTAGTAATAGATTTTTTGTATAGTTCACTTGATAGCGACCTATAAACGAAAGTCCCCGAATGACTTAAAATGTCAGGAACAAATGATACATGCTCGAGAACCACGTTTTTCAATTATATTGTAAAGATTATTATATGGATTGAAATAATAAGAATGCGTGCGATATAATCATTTTAACGAATATTTGTTTAATGATAATTATAAAAATGATGATGTCTGTCCATGTGTTTTCATAATAAAAATCAAAAATTGGATATTTAATTGTAACAATTTATATTGATGATTTAAATATAATTGACACTCCTGAAAAGCTCTACAAAACTAAAATTATTTAAAAAATGAATTTGAGATAAAAGATTTTGGAGAAATCAAATTGTCTCAAGTTGCAAATCGAATACTTCTCAAAATGATTATTCGATCATCAATCACATATAATGCATATCCATTGACATCACCTATAGTTGTCCGATGACATAATGTCAAAAAAGATCCATTTCATTCACTTGACGATGGAGGAAAGGTTTTTGGTCTTGAAATATCATATTTTAGTACAATTGGAACATTCACTTATCTTACAAACTGCACGCAACCCGACATAACTTTTTCTGTAAATCTTTTTGCAAGATATAGCTCTAAACTAACTCAAAAACATTGGAATGATGTTAAACATATTTTTTTGTTATCTAAAAGGTACATTTAATCTAGGATTATTTTATTTTCAAAAATTCGGATCTCCTTTAATAGGATATAAAAATCCAAGTTATCTTTCTGATATACATAAAACTAACCACAAATAGGATATGTGTTTATACATGGAGGAACAGTTATATTATGAAAACCTGTGAAGCAATCTTTGATAGTAACATTCTCAAATCATTCTAAAATTATTGCAATCTATGAAGCAGGCCAAGAATATATATGGTTGATGAACGTCGACCATCATATTCAAACATCATACGGATTAACTTTAATAAAATATAGTTCAATAACTCTGTATGAAAATAATGCAGCTTATATTACACAATTCAAAGGAGACTATATTAAAAGATGCTATATAAAAGGTGACAGAACGAAGCATATTTGTCTGAAATTCTTTCACAAACTTGAACTTCAAAATAATAGCTACATTGATATTCAACAAATTAGTTCAAATGAAAATGTAGCTGATTTATTCACAAAAGCACTGTTGACATCTACATTTAAGAAATTAGTTCACGAGATTTAAATGAGCTGACTCAAAGATTTTTGGTCATTAACAGCAAAAGGAATAGTTGTACTTTCTTTCATTCGTTTAGGTTTTATCCCATTGGATTTTTTTTAACAAGATCTTAATAAGACATTATTTATTTTTTAAACTCCAAAACAATTGTACTCTTTTTTCTTTGTTTAATTTTTTTGTCCCATTCGATTTTCATCAAATAAGATTTTAACGAGACCAATATTTTATAACGTGTCATTCAAGGGGAGTTTCATAAATTGTAAATTTATTAGTGAATGACAATTGTACCCCTGTAACTATAGAAATTACTACCATTGTATCTCTAATCCTTCTCTATAAATATGTGGCTTTGGTTCTCGTTATAATACACACAAATCTATTAACTTTTATTCACTCTTCTTTTTTTTCTTTTTTTTTTTTTGCCTCTCTCTCTTTTCATAATACTAGTTATTTGCCCGTGCAATGCACGGATTGTATTGTTTTAAAGGTAATGTCAATGTGTTCAACGTTAAGAATGATAAGAGATGGATGAATAAATGTACACTAACAGACTAAGTGTTTTGGATTGAAGAACAACTTGAAACAATATTATATCTTCATAATAGATGCAAAGGAAAATGTACTCAACCAAAAATATTAGATCATTCCCATTCAATAAGAGATTAAAGCCATTTGGGTGAAGATCTACACTTGATCATGAAGGCAGCAGTAGTAAGCTTTGCAAGTGAAGAAGAACGCCCAAACATCTCTGCCACATTAACATAAAAGTTAAACCTTGGTGTATATACATAAGAACTACTAAAATGATTTCTCTTTCTCTCTCATCAAAGTCGAGGGAACAGTCTATGCAGCTAGAATGAGCACCAAGGAAAATGTTGGTCCGTATCAAGGTCCCCCTCCCCCAAAGGATATGCAATAGAAGGTAAACCAAAAGATAAGACATCTGTAAATGGCTAAACACAGTGTATGAGAGATGATTGCTCTAAAAGTACAACGCAACGGTTGTAGTATAGCTTCGGGATGTCGTATCCACAGGGAGATGAGAAAATAGCCCAAGAGTTCAAAAGCTAGAGTTTTGTTGTGATTTTATGTAAATGTAACGTATCAATTGAAATAGAATTCAAATAACAATATATAAGTTAAGAAAATTTAAATCAATGTATGAAGCAGTAAAGTGTCAGAATTCCCTCGATTAGATTGGATCGATCAACGTCAATTTTGCATGAAGATACTCAATTAAAGGTGTTTTTTTTTTTTTTTTTTTTTTATCCTAGCACTTTAATTGGAAGATTTACACATTAAAACCCCTCTTTAATTCCTTAAGAGTTAAGAGTTCCAAATCTAGATTTCTTGCACAACATAATTCTACAATAGTTTATTGAAATTAGATCCAAAATCGATCATATACCTCAAGCATATGATAGTAAAAGATCACACCAACAAACGATTTGAAATTGAAAATCAATAAATACTTCGATCATTCGATAAAAAAACTTGATTGAATTCATGAAAATCTAATATGAATTAATTCAATCTCAAACATGCCCAACAAATATAAGAAATCTAATTCCAGAATTTTTAATAATGAAAGAACAAATTACATGCAAGAAAGAACGTTAAAAAAATCAAATCTAACCGAGTTCCTTCGTGGCTTCACTAATTAATTTAATTTTCCATGGATTTCTTGAGCCAAACTTGAGAGAAAATTGATAGGAGATGAAGAAGAAGCGTGTTCTGTCTAATCTAGAGCTTAAAATCGTGTGCCAAGTTGTTTTCAAAAGAGATTGAACCGAATAAGGAAACTAAATTTTCTGCTAGAATATTCTGTGCGACTACTTTCAATATTTTAACCATAACTTTCTCTTCCAATATCCGATTAAGGAAATTCAAAGTGCATTAAAAAGATAACACAAAGGGCTACAAATTTTCTAGAAATAGATTTTTCCAAATTCTGATGTTTACTGGGTGAAAAGTGGACTTCAATCTCCGACTAAAAATTTGGAAAATCTTTATGCGTTTGGAATTTGATTTGCGAAAATATTGTGGTCATATTTAACTTCTTTTGACTTCTAATTGCACCCATTGGACTCCTAGCTTTCTCGAATCATCATTTCATTGCCCTTCTCATCTTTATATTGTTTGCAACTTGATCCCTAAACTTCACTTTCTTCTATTTGGTCTTTTCTCGCTCTTTTCTTCTAAATTTCACATTTTCTATCAAAATACAACTTGAATCAAAGTATAAGTAATGAGTGCATTTTAGTATCAAATAATAACACGAATGTAATAATTAAGATGGGAAAATATTATATTTTACACTCTTATCAAGAGAGTTGAATTTTGAGTTTTTTCCCAAAAAGGGGTGAAGGAATAAATGTGGCACAGGTCCCAAGCAAATGTAATGTAGAAAACCAATCAAAGGTTTGACACTGGAACCCAAACACTAAACCCACTGCAATGGACGGGATACATCAATTATCTTTTCACAAAAATAAGACAGTCCTATTACTCGACAAATATACATGCATACTACCATCTCAAATGCTAATTTCCACGGCAAAATAAACCTGTATGTCTAATCGAAGATGGGATTTACTCTCATGAAATGTGGCTATCAAGGCGAGCCCGGAGAGAGTTGTTCTTGGCCTACATGTTAAGATAATAATTAGATATAAATCGTGTACCGAAACCAGTTTATGATGATGTTACAAGTTATATGAGAAATTGAAGAAATTAAAATTGCATTTGACCGTAGTAAAATCGCCAATTTGAACCCCGAGGAAATAGCTCCAATAGGATTTGCCTTTAAAAGAGCCTCCAAAGCAAACTTGAATTCGGGGCGAATGATGCCCATTTGCAATTTGTAACTATGAAAAATGAAATTAATCAACTCGATGATAGATCCATGTATGATATCAATGCGATGGCATAAGTCCTTGTACCATTTATTACTTTATATATTCACGGAGCTAGAGGAATTTGAAAACATTGAAACCAATAGAAAAAAAAGTACTCAAGTAAGAAAGCAACATGAACATAAGAAACAGCTTCTCTAGCATACAAGGTGGCTGTGTCATGAGTAAATGAGTTGATTTCTAGGAACGCAGATGGAATCTTTAACGAGAAAAATCGCCAAGCTAATATATCTTTAGAGAAAATGAGCAAGAAAATATGCAAAGGAACAAAAATCCTTATGTCCAAAAACTGAGTCTTGTTATGAATAGTGAAAACGTTGAGCAAAATATGCTCCTAACGGCTATTAGACCTAGAATGACCAAGAATATATTCATTGTCCTAGAAATACAGACATTAAATTGTATACCACCAGCTGGTAGTTGTCTTTCTTTCACAATTGTTCCCATTTCCTTCCCTTTAATGAAGAACCCGCCCTCTTATTCCCTCTCATTTTTTATTTTTTTTTGGGGCAAATAAAGTTAATGAAAAGAAGCAACTGATCAAACAATATCTCAATACAATCTTGGTGAATTTTTATAAGCATGATTGGTCATGACTAAATAATAAAATGAACAAAACTTTAGCTTATTACATTTATAATACTATTCATGCTATCCGATTCTCCATATCAAACATGTTACTATTGGCTGTAGAAAAAAGGTTGCTAAGCACGGAGAAAAAACAAACATTGATCGTATATCAATGATATATCTGAGATAGAAGCAAGTCTTCCTCAGGCATCCAACCTCCTTTCTTGAAATCAGAATTCAAATGAGTGAACTATCTACATAACAGAAATGAAATAAGAAAAAGAAAAAGCAACTGAATGCAGTATGAGTAGGAAAAAAAAACAGAGGATGGTGCCTATATTTATAACATTAATATGAACTGATCTTTTTCTACATTGGTCGCAAACCAAAAAATTATTCTTTTTGGCAGTACTTAATCATTTAACCTTTCAGTTCCAACAGATATTGTAACAGGTTTCTCATCTGCAGTTTTTGGATCAACCATCCTTTCTAATGAAATGTAAATTAGAGTCCTAGAAGCAGTTTGAAGAAAGACTTGAAAGAAATAACAAGTGGCGATTTATAAATTTAACTTGACCATGAAAATAAAATGTTATACTTCAATGACAACAAAAATATAAGTATATTTTTGGAAGATGAAATCTCTTATGTAGGGTCTACAACAAAGATCCGACAAAATACCTGTCGACATTCCTCAGAAATTTGAATTTGTTCTGGAATGGAACACTGAACACGTAAGATTCTCTGAATTGTTTTTCGAAAGTCCTTAGGTTCTTCAGGATCCTCAAATGGATAGGAACCCACTGCATTTCATATAAAGTGACCCCACAGGACCATACATCTACAATCTGAAGTGGTACACCATGTAAGATTTAACAGCCAGTGAGCCAACAACCGTTCACAAATATAAGAAAGCAATTGAAAGATACGTAGAAGATGGTCTTAGCTCCTGTTTGGCCCCCATCATTTGGATTTATATGGGGGAGTAGTGTTTTTTTAAAGATTGTGTGGTTGGAAAATTTTCGATTTGAGTGTAATATTATTTTATTGAAGATTGTGTGGTTGAAAATAAGAGAGAAAAAAATTAAATTAAATTCAAGAGTTTTAAAGGGGGCCAAACGGGGGCTTATTTTCAAAATAAAAATAAAAATAAAAATTGTTAGCTACTAAGTTATTACTTTCATTTGTCCTCTCAAGGCTTAGTTTCTTATTTTTGTCCAAAGGAACTGGAAAAATTTACAGTGTTAGCCATCCATAACTTAATTTTATGCATTTGATTTGCCCAACTCAATTTCGGTAGAAGATACATCAAACAGGAAAAGAGATAAAAGGAAAAATAATGCCACGTCTCCCCATCCCTGCTTCCTCCTTTTCTCAATTTAGTGCATATTTGGGCTTCAATATTCAATCAATTCTGGCACATTGTTCCTAGTTCCAGTCTTGCTAAAAATGTTGGCAAACTTCTTGATACTGCATAAGTTGTTTTCTCAATGAGTTTGTTTTAGAACTCACTATTATATTCAACAAATACTTTATGACTATGCTCTCTAAAAGTTTCATTACCAGTCACTCCAATCCATTCTGAATAAGTTTTAATTTATTGACATAATTTTGAATTTCTGTTCAATGGCTTTTACACTTTTCAAATTATTAAATTTTTTATGTATGCAATTATTTCAAATTGTAGGAGCTAGAAAACTAAAAGCATTCAGGATCAATCATCTAGAACTTGCAATATTTTGTAGTTAAAAGAAGAAAGACAATATAAATTTGTGAGTTATCATGTATTGTATCATTGTCTAGCCCTAAACATATCACTGGAGTCTTCACTAAAATTGACATAAAAAAGAAGTGGTTTTTGGTGCAACACCTCAATTATAAGAGTAAAGTCGAGTGCTACTGAACCAACCTCTTGAAAATTAGATTACAACTCTAAAATCCTAAAACCTATTCAACTTAAGAACCATATATTTTGTCAATGCAATCGAGCATACAAATCCATATAAACTGATTGGAAAATTCTTAGTGAAAGCACCTATTTTACGCTACATATATCATATGCCTTCACCCAAACCTAGATGGTGAAATACAAGAAACTTCCAAACAAATATCCATAGAATCTAAAAAATATTTCATTATATTGTATCTGAAATCCACATTCAGATGTTCTAAACACATTTTCATGTTTCTACCATGCATGAAAGATAAATATAGCAAACATATTTATGACAGTGTCAAATTCTATCAAAAACAACATGGACGGTTTTACGTTGCCATCATACTCAAGTAACACTTCATGAGCAATATATGTAGGAGTTCCCGCAGTAGATTTTGGTTGAGAGTGCAACGTGTGATACAAACCAAGTAAACAAAATAGGCTAGCAGGGTTTTCTATATTATCCGAAAGTTGATAAAAATACATATGTGATGATTCGTAGCATTACCTTAGATTACCTAAAATCACAAATTTTGAGCCTTGGAGCAGGGTTTCCATCCAATAGTGTGTTTCCCAGCTTCAAGTCCCTATGATATATTTTCTTCATCAAGAAACATAAGAATGACCAATCAGAACGAGCAGAAAATAATAATAAAAATAACAAATGAATTTTAACTAAAACATTAGAATACCATCGAATACAATAGCTAACTCCAAATATAAGCAGTTGAAAAAAGAAGCAAACCTGCACAGAAACAACAGCAAATATTATCAGTCACAATGTGCTTGCATGAAACAGCTGAATAATAGCAATTTAATTAAAAGAACCTCATCCTCACTAAAGCGTCCAGCATTGCATATTCACTCAAAAAGATCTTCTCCAGATTCATACTCCATGACAATGGCCAAATGAGATTGGCTATGAAGATTGTGACTAATAAGAAAATACAACACATAATCATATAAATGCAGAAAAGCAATAATCAGCAACAAACCTTTTTAAATCTAACAATATTAGTTATCTCAAAGAATGGTGATTTATAATTTCACTCCAAGCATTTTAATCTATCTACAATAAACATTGCCAAATAGGTCATTGATTGTGTGAGTAGAAAAATATATCTGAGAAATATGAAGTGCAGAAAATATCTCATGAAGCCAACACCAGCCTTGCAAGCTAAACAGAAATACTTCGCGGAATATCAAACCATAATTTCCTTGGACATTTCATGGAGGAGAGAATAATGGAAAAACAAAATGTATCAGGCATAATGTTGCAATTTATCAGAAGAAAGAAACTCTAATCAACCATAGATTAGTCACCAAATCGTTACACAAGAATGACTACTGAGAAGAAAACCATCCAATGACTATTTTCCAGCCCCTGAAAAGCAGGGGACATAAATTATACATAAAACCCAAAAAACTGAGAAAAAGATCCTATGTTTAGATAATAGTTTACACTCAAATTCATTAAAGACTCATAGACACGTAGAAATGTTTAATTGGACTAAACAACTTTGAAACGGATGTATAGTGTCCGAAAGGAAACAGCAAAAATGTTTAATTAGACCAAAAAACTTCGACAAGTGACACAAGTTTATATTATCTAGAAACTTACATTTTAGGTGAGTGTCAAACAGGTTTCCAGTAATACCTTCAATGGCATCATCCTTGAGAAGAATGTGTACACGCTTCCTATACTTGACATCAGAACATTGATCAATAGAAACCACATATCCAAGTCTAACCCTGGGGTAGTTTCTCACAACCTTATTCATCCAAATCTTTGGTTAATCACAAGTGTCATCAGCAAGTGCAATGCAGACCATGTTTCTTATCCTACAAACAAAATTAGAATTAAATTAATAATAAACATATAAATATGGGAAATCTTATTAAACATAAGTCTCAAGACATTAGTATTGAAGTCCCTCAATCAACCCCAACGTTGACAAACACTAAAATATCCACTCTAGTACAGAGACACAAAACCAAACGACATTTAAAATCCCAACCTAAAAGTACAAAACTAAAAATCAAGCACCTTTTTGAAGTATTCAAACTATTTTACATAATTCTAAAGCTCCAAGAAATCGATACTTTGTGAGGACACGTAAAAACCCATAAGATCAAAGTAAACAAATTATTTCATTAAGCCTTCCCTCGAATGCAAAACTCTCCAAAACCAAGAGAAGTTTTTTTTTTCCTCATTCCCCAAAATTTCTCGCTTAGATAATCAACTACAAACAACTAAGAAAAAATCCAGAAAAACTCCAAATTTTCCATTCCCATAATTAATTAAACACAACTAACCGATAATAATAATAAATAAAAAAGTAACACAAAAAAGGCATTAAAACCAATTTTTTCTCACAAACCAAATTTAACCCAAATATCAGAATCCCATATGACGAAACGTAAAAAAAAAATTCCATAAAACACATGAATCATAACCCCATGAATAGAACCCCTGAATTTCAGCACATAACCACATGTTTATGTACAGTGTGACAATAAAATGCATAGCCAGGAACTGCAATTAATTATCTTACTTTATGAAAATAAAAAATTAGCAATACCAAAACTTGGGTATTCATATATGTGCCATCTGAGTTGCACTTTGGTAGTCAATAAAAACATAAAGCAAAATAATTAGTGTCATCCTATTTCCTTCATTTCTTTTTCATTGCAACTCACGAACGAGCAAAACATATCCCCATATATCACATAATTATTCCTCCATACACTATAATCACTAATTTCCATTAAAAAATCAATATTTATTGCAGTAATATCCCAATTAACATAAGTAAGAGGTGTAATTCTATGTACTTCAATGCAAAGGCATTTACACAGGAGTGTTTTTTTTTTTTTTTTTTTTTTTTTGGCTAGAAGGGATCGTGAGAGGAGATCTTCTTGGCGCGGTGGACCTCAAGATGGTGAACGTACGTACTGATTATCTGCAGAGTAGCTGGGCTCTTTTGATTGGCGCTTGGATTCTCCCAAATCACTAATGTTTGAAGGCAAAAAATAAAGAAAACGCCTTTAAAGATCAAAGAAAATCCTAGAACTTATCAGTTACAGACCTGTTAGCTTTGAATCTCTATAGAGATTATCACTACCGTGAGGGATGATAAATGAAGGTGAGGCAGACTGAAAGATGAAGGGCTTTCTTTGCTTTCATTTGTATTGGAGAAAAAAGAGAAATAGAGGCCACGGTTGCAAGAAATCAAAGCAAATAGTGGAGTCAGATAAGCCCAGTTTGAAAGTTAATTTGAGAATTGATTTTTTGATTGTTAAAAAGGACGTGAGGTTTATCTGTGAAAGAATAAATCAAAAATTACGGATAGAATAGTAAAGGGTAAATTTAACCAATAATCACTAAACTTTACACTTAATTACTACTTGCTCACTCATCTTTCACATATTACTGAATGCTCACTCATCTTTTTATATAATTACTCATTCACCACTCGTCTCTTCAAATAATTGGGCTACTTTTACGACAAATTTTCGACAACTTCCGACCACAAAGAATGTCGAATTTTGATACCGTTGGAAAGCTCACGATGTCCTCTTCAATTACCACCCAAAATCTCATTATAACTCCAAGGGATTCGATCGAAAAATTGCCTTAAAAGTTGCCCAAAAATTTTGAAAATCTGCCCAGATTTTCAGATTTTTTGGGTGACTTTTAAGGCACTTTTTCGGCAACTTTCGACCATCAAAACTAAAGAATTTTGATACCATTGGAAAGCCCACAATGTCCTCTTCAATTACCATCCAAAATTTTCCCATAATTCCAAAGGATTCGGTCGGAATAAACCCACAAAATCAGCATTTTGGAAAAGCGAAAATCTGGACAAAGTTCGGGATGATGACTTTGTGGGTTTATTCCAACCGAATCTTTTGGAGTTATCGGGAAATTTTGGGTGGTAATTGAAGAGGACATTGTGGGCTTTCCAATGGTATCAAAATTAGATAGTTTTGTTGGTTGAAAGTTGCCGAAAAATTGCCTTAAAAGTCGCCCAAAAAATCTGAAAATCTGGGCAGATTTTCAGAAATTTTGGGCGACTTTTAAGGCAATTTTTCGATCGAATCCCTTGGAGTTATAATGAGATTTTGGGTGGTAATTGAAGAGGACATCGTGAGCTTTCCAACGGTATCAAAATTCGACATTCTTTGTGGTCGGAAGTTGTCGAAAATTTGTCGTAAAAGTAGCCCAATTATTTGAAGAGACGAGTGGTGAATGAGTAATTATATGAAAAGATGAGTGAGCATTCAGTAATATGTGAAAGATGAGTGAGCAAGTAGTAATCAAGTGTAAAGTTCAGTGATTATTGGTTAAATTTACTCGAATAGTAAAATAACGATTAAACAATTAATTTTTTGGAGTGAAAAATTCCCCCAAGCAGGCCCAAGATTTTTTTGTGAACAGTGATTAAACCAGTTTGGGAATAGTGGTGAACCAGTTTCAGTGTGAAAAAGATGATGCAAAAATGAACAGTACCGAGCTATTCTCTCTTTTATAGTAGCAGTGAAGTGATATTTCATATTTGTTGATCAAAATGCACATTAAGAGCATGTTTGAGAGTGATTTTGAAAATTAATTTTTTTATCATTAGAAAAAATGTGGGATCCATTTATGAGAGAAGAAGACAAATATGACAGCTGAAATAGTGAAATAACGATCAAAAAATTAATTTTTTAAGCCAAAAAATTACTCCCAAACAGACTGTAAGGATATATTGGAAAACTTAAAAAATTAATTATAATCTTAACAAGGAAAGTGGCATATAATTTGAGACGGATGATAAATGAAAACAACTCTATCTTTATGGGACGGTGGGAAAAAAATTTATTTCTGGTTTTGGAATTATAGTTTCTTAGCCTAGGGTAGAGGTGATGAAGGAGAATTAGGATCAAATTTTTACAAAATAATAATAATAATAATAATAATAATAATAATAATTGCCATTTAGAATCAATCAATAAACTTTCAATATATTACCGCATTTTTGAACCTTTTGACAATGGGTAGGTAGCACCTTCGATTCTTATCTATGAATAGTGTGATCATGATTTCATTTTCAACCACACATTCTCTCAATAAATACCATGAATGAATAGAGACAATGGGGAAAAAGAAAAATGTAAAACACCCCTCTCTCGAATCTGGAACACTGCACATCTTTGCTGCTACCGAACATTGGTAGCCAATGATTGTTTGTGGCGCGTAGGTCATTGGTAGTAATTCGAACGTCAACTGTCAAAAGTACTCAACCCTTACAATATATCTATTCCAAATTTCCAAGATTCTTCAATTAATTATTGACAAACCTCGTGATATTTGGAAAAAGAATTCATATCAATAGCTACTACATCTCTCTTATGGGTGAAAACGTTTGATTCGGGCTATTTATGCTGTATTTTCAACTCAAACCATTTCATTGGTTTGAAAAAAATTTCAAACCAAAACATTATTTGGATTTTGGTTCGATTTTAATCCGCGATTTACCTACAATATTACAGTAATATATTTAAAAATAAATTAACATATAAATTTAAATGAGAACAAATAATGTCAAATGTTAACTTATATTTATATTTGTTTGAAATTTGAAATATAAACAAAAAGGCCAAAAAAAAAAAAATAGCTAGTTAGAATCTAGCAATATGCTAATAGCTTTCTCCACTTAAATCTTTTACAAGCAACAATAAAGAAGTAGCAGTACCCCTTCAGACTTCATAAAAATTGTGTTTTAACCTCTCGTTTGATAACAATTGGATCAATATCCCTATTTGAAAAATGTAACAAAAGATATAATGGCAAACATATTCTAGCATAATTTCGAGATACATTTCTAAGTACTCCATTAATATATATGAATTAATTGTTTCAATGGTCACTAAACTTAGACTCATGTCTTTGATTGATCATTGAAATTTAAAATGTTGAGTTTTGATAGCAGAATTTAGATCCATGTCTTCGATTGCTCATCGAAATTTAAAATGTTAAGTTTTGACCACTGAATTTTGAAAAATATTATACATTACTTACTGTAAACTCGATATTTTTCAATCCAGTGGCCAAAACTCGATATTTTAAATTTCAGCAAGCAATTGAAGACATGGACATAAATTCAGTGATCAATCAAAAATATAACCTAAGTTAAGTGTCCATTGGAACAATTAACTCTAATATATACGAATTTTGTCAAATGACCCCCATGGTTGACAAAACAAATGACCTGCACTCTCACATATCGAGGTGGGTCCAATCCGAATTTAAAATTCGACCCACTTGTGTTGTTTGTGTGCGGTCATGCCCTCGAGCACTGTAGCTCGATCCAATATTTATAGTAAAAAAATTTAGGGTTTGTTTAATTGCAAGAATGAAATTTTGGTGGAAAGAAAACAAATTTTAAGGAATTGTCAATTAAATGTACTTGATTGGTATAATTTTTCACTTGAAAATTTTTTAAATTTTGGATTTTTTTATGTTCATTTGACTTTGTTCTTCATGAAAATTGTCAATTAAAATGATAAAATTTTTTACAATTGTTGATATAATTTGTTTCCATTTTCAAAAATTAAAAATTAAAAAAAAATGGAAAACTCAATTCCCACCAAAACCAAAAGAATTGATTTTCCTTTAAATCCATTGAAATTTTTTGTCATCAAACATGCATTTTTAGATGGAAACGAAAAATGTTTTCCATTTTTCATGGAAAATCATGTATATCAAATAGGCCCTTAGTTCAACTCCAACAGTAGAATTTTCTACAAATTTTAATACTATGTCTATATTTTCATGTAAAAATGAACAAAAAGTAAACTTATAATGCGTGCATATATAAATTAAATAGACATATCTGCATACACAATGAATGCAAACGCATAGACAACATTATAAGAGCAAAATAAAAAATAAAAAGGTAAACAAGAACTGTCTATTTGGGCCATTAAGCCGAGTTACAGCATCAACAAATATTTCTTGAGCTTCGAAAATGAGTGATTTACTACTGTAGGTCATGGCTTTTGAAACCTTTTTTTTTTTTTTTTTTTTTTTCTTTTTTGGTTCATTTCATATGATTTGGGGGTAGTTTTAGTTTAGTTTAGATATCGTGTTAGGATGTGTGTAGTGGACTTGTAAAATCATGGGCTAGTAGCATTAATGATGAACATAATTTACTTTATATGATTATTTCAATGAACTAATTGTAATTTATATTGCTAAATTGTTTTTTGTTTTTCCAGAAAAGTGAAACTATAAAATTGATTTAATTTTAACTAAAAGATTAAAAAAGGGTTCAACTTGATTTTAAAAAAAAAAAAAAAAACTGAACCTAACCATTTTGAAACGATTTGGTTCAATTTGGGGGAAAATTCGTGAGTAAACAAACAAATCCGATTCGATTCGATTCGAGGTTTTCGTGATTTTTTTGTGGACTTATTATCTCTAACAGGGTAAAAATAAACAAAGATTCTCTAAATTGGATTTTTAATTTTTATTTTCTTTATTACTCTTACTTTTCAATATCAAAGAGCTTGTGGTAATGAAATGACGTTGTTGTTCGCAGATCTTTGGGAATGGAAAGGTGTTGATAAGAACAGATCTGGCATTTGGCAATGGGACGAGGTGGCACAGGTCTGGGGATTAAAAAACAATTGTGCTATGGGTACAGGGAGCTTCTCACAGAAAACCTACAGGAATTTGAAAAAAATTACGTGACAGTCTTTTGTAATTAAAAAATGATGCATGGCAGGAAAATGAAAATATAATGACATAAAATTCATTTTCCCCAAATTTCAATCGGCAGCCTCTTCCTTCATTGAATCCTAAGCATCCGACGAAAAAGCCTCCACTTGAAGCAAAATCGGTCTGCGCACTCACCGCCACCCTCGACCGACGCGGTGACGCCAACGAAGCTGTGCATACTGTTAGTGATATAGGGGTTTTGGTCACCATGTCTTATAGTTTAGTTATTGAAAATTCTTTCCTGCAAGTCTCACTATCTTAATATATTTGCACAATTTCAGATACCTTCCACATTGGCAGCTGTAAATGCCAGCTGCCGTGGAGAAATATGTGAATGATAAAGATGGTCACTTGAATCACTTGGAATACTTAAGGGTGTGATTGGCCATCGCTATTGAAGAACAAAATCTGCCACCTATTCAGCTTTGTCTACATTGGCATAATTTCAGATACCC